GACATGGCGACGGCAAGAAAAGGGAGAGAGCTTTTTACTATTTTGGAAACTAGCGCGGACGCAGAAAGTGCCACGGAGTGCGACAGCCGGGACTCTCCGCTTAATCTTTCCGCCGATGTGAGGTGGTTTGAAATCCCCAACAGAAAGCCGGACTCGGAGTCGGAAGACGAAGCGGGGGAGGTGGAGGACGGCGAGGGGGAGAATGGATTCAGCAGCAGCAGCGGCAGCAGCAGCGCAGCGGCAGCCGCGGCGGACGCCGCAGACGCAGCCAGCTTCATTGCGGGAGGAGGCTGCAACATAATTCTGGTCACCGGCAGCAACGGGATCAAGCACGACGAGGAGGAATACGCCGAGGACTGCTATTATTCTACCTCCACTAACTGCTCGGACACTAACTCCAACGACTCGGATATTGATTTCTCCGATCTGGAGGAGGAGGAGGAGCGCAGGAGCTTTTTCAGCTTTGAGGAGGACTTGGAGGAGGACTGCACGTCTCCCGACTTCTGGGGCGAGCCCGACCAGGTCATCTCAATCGAAGCGTTCTCCGCCGTCAGTGGCCCTCAGCACTCGCTGGGGGACGAGGCTGACACTTGTGACTATTTCCGGATACTCTTCCCAGATTCTCTTTTTGAACACATGGTAGAACAAACAAACAATTACGCCCTCTATCGGCAAAGGCGGAGTGGAAAATCAGACCCCCACTGGCACCCCACTGATGTGAGAGAGATGAAGGCTTATGTAGGTCTGAATATTCTGATGGGTATCAATCAGCTTCCAGACACCGGCATGTACTGGGCCAGTGATATTTTCATCGGTAATGCCGGCTTTAAGAAAACCATGACGGCCAGACGCTTTGAAAAGCTCACCCAGTACCTCCAGCTGTGTGACAGAGAGTCTGAGCCTGGGCGGGGAGAGCGCGGATACGATGGCCTCTTCAAAATCAGGCCTCTCCTTGATGTGGTGGAGAACACTATGTGGGACGCATATGCACCCAACCGCTGTTTGACCATAGACAAGTGTTCTGTCGTCTCAAATAGACGGTTCTCCCCCACTCAGTACATGTCCTCCAAGCCCCTGGGGAAAGGGCTGACGGTGTGGATGCTGTGTGACTCCCGTTCAGGCTACTGCCACCGGACCAAGATCTATGTGGGCAAGCCCAGTGAAGATGGAGCAGCTTCCTCTCTGGGCTACAGGGTGGTGACCTCTCTAGTGCGTGGCCTGGAGGGTCAGCACCATCATATCTTTGTGGACAGCTTCTTCACCTCAGTGCCACTCCTGCAGAGGCTGCTGAGGGATGGTGTGTATGCTTGTGGACCCACTCAGCCCAGCCGCAAAGGTTACCCAGAAGTCCTGCGGCCATGTAATGTTGGGAAGCTGTGCCAGGGTGAGTTCTATCAGTGCCAGAGAGGCAACCTGGTTGCTACGGTGACACGGGATGCTAAAATGGTCAGCTGCCTCTCCACCAACTGTGCACCAGGCATTGTGGGAATCAGCCCAGGTCGGCAGCAGTATGACACAAATGGAGAGGGTGAGAGTGACAGCTTGGACAGCTCAGGTTTGTCCTTTGGTGTACCCCGACCTCTGCCCCTGCTGCTGTACCAGGAGAACATGAGGGGTGTGGATTTATGTGACCAGCTGAGGGAGTGCTACCAGGTTGGTAGGCCTTGTAAAAAGTGGTGGCGCTACTTCCTTTGGTTCTATGTCAATCTGTGCATCGTCAACGCTTACATCATACTGAGAGAGAGCCGAGGGGGCACGCCGCCGGCGGGCTTCAACGGCAAGCAGTTCACGCAGCGCCACTTCCGTGTGCGCCTGGCGCAGCAGCTGATAGGGGACTACCAAGGGGCGAGGGGGATGGAACGGGCAGCACGCAAAAGGCACGCCGACTCACCCATAGAGTACGGACATCGGCTGGAGCGCATGTCGGAGCGCTCCCGCCGTTGCAGGAACTGCACAAACAAGGGACTGCGACACGAAAGCGTGTTCGGCTGCAAGGTATGCAACGTTCACCTGTGTAGGGGTGGATGCTTCTCCGAGTTTCATAAATAATACCCAGCAGTCTTTTCCTTTTTGTAACATTTGTGTAAACAAAAACCTATGTCAAGGGATTTTTTCCAAAAGCATAAAACTGTTTGTTATTCCAAAGGTCACCACTCAACGTGCACAGCATAGTCACACTTATGTAGAGCTAGTTTTAGGTTAGAAGTCTTATTGCACGTATATTAGAGAAAATAATCAGAGAAAACTGTAGATTAATTGAATTAGTATAGAATGTTTTTGGCAACTTGCCTTCTATTACACTGACAGAATTGCCTTGTTGTCACTTTTCAATACATTTGAAATATCATAAGATTTTTATATGAAGAAGATGAACTGTTTCTGCACTTACTATATATAAGAAAATGTTTACGATGGGAAATTTATCTCTCTTTTTCCAAAATAAAGACTTCCGCAGGAAAAACTTTGCCCCTTTTTTCTGATGTTAAAGCAATGAAAGAAAAACAGCAGTAGAGTAAACATGTAAGCAGAAACACAATGTCTGTTTAATCTGAGCATCAATGAATATTCTTTCAAATGGTTTAACTTCCAAAGGGACACGGCTTGGAGCAATTAGAGAGTAGAAAACGACCCCTCGGCTGCTGCAGCAAATGCACCTCAGGATGGAGTTTCTCCGTTCAACAGCACCACAGACTCAGAGCCATCTGTGGCCCTGTTACACCAAGTCCAAACTCAAAAAGTGGGTTCTTGCTACTGACAAAGTTGAGAAATAAAGAATTCAATTTGTTAGATTAATCCTTGGTGGGCGGGTTAGAGACGAAGGAAAGAGCGTGTATGCAGTTAGGATTTGCAGATTTAAAATGGTCCTTTAAGGTCAAATGTTAGTTTGGCTGAACTGGGAAATATTTGAAAATAGCAAAAAACTTTAAAATCAAAACATTGGTTTGACTGACAAGCCTCCACGTAGGCAGCTTCAGCAGAGCAGACTACCCATCTCTGTTTTTCTCCCTCTTCAGCTCTCTATCTCTCTATCACTCCTTCTTCAGGCTCTGCTGTACCATCCCACACACACACACACACACACACACACACACACACACACACACACACACACACACACACACACACACACACACACACACACACACACCCCTCCTCTTCACTCAGCTCTCCAGCACTCCCTCAGCCGTTCCCCAGCTGGGAGAGGGTTAGTCAACTGGACGCCCATCCCGCTGATCTGCGGGAGCCCCGTGGGGAGTTGCCATGACAACCGTGGCCGATGAAGACAGGGAGTCGCCAGCAGGCCTACATGGTTGTCATGGTACTTGCTCTGGCTACGGAGGTGGGAGGGGCCAGAGGCCACACCTCCTTAATCCACTGTCCAAAACCAAAGAGGCCTCTGGTATGGCGTGTGTGTGTGTGTGTGTGTGTGTGTGTGTGTGTGTGTGTGTGTGTGTGTGTGTGTGTGTGTGTGTGTGTGTGTGTGTGTGTGTGTGTGTGTGTGTGTGAGAGACGCTGGCTGGCAAAGAGACTGCCCACTATAGACTGAGCCATTCTGGTTACCAGGCAGGCTTTGCAGCAGCACGACCGAGACAACTGTTGCCAAAGCTGAACCAGAGTATCTGCATGCAGGTGTTGTCAGGGATTGGAGGAATTTGTCCAGCTGTGCTTCACCTGAAACCCAACCAACATCACTTACGCTGACACAGCAGGTGTCTTCATACAGCCAGACAAGGCAGCCTTGGCTCATTTAGAACAATTCAAAAGTTTGGACACCTGTGATAGTTCACTAGAACAGGAAGGTGTGTCCAAACTTTTGTGCCTGTTACTATAAAGAAAGGCAGGGTAGTGTTTTTTTTTCTCCTGTTGAGTGTTTCTCTTTTTGATACCAATAATGAAGGTGAATCCATACCAAAACCTCCTTGATCCATCTTCAGGTGGCATACTGTTTGTGGTAACCAGATCCAGCATAGATCCCAACCATGACATACTCACTTTTTAACATTTCCGCTCTCCGCCAAGGAAAGCTCTGTGTTTCTGTGAAGAACCAGGGCCTGGTTTCACTTAAGAGCCACCGTTTGGCTAACACATGTACTGTTATGTAGTCTTGAATGCGTCTTTGTTAAATGTTTTCTTCTGTTGCAATTTGAGTGTTTGGAAAAGGATGAGCGTGAGAAACCCCCTGATTTCTAATTCTCAGATCTCGGTAAAAATGTTCCACACAGGCATCAGTGTGGAAGGAAATCTGGTCTAAACTCGTCAGCATGATTTTATTTAACCATTTGCTTGAAGCACAGAGTTGCTGAATGTTTCACAAAAATCATTAACCAGTAAGACTAAAAGCAAAACTGTTAAATAAGAACAGGCGGAGTAAGATATGTTTTATTTATTATTTTGTTTGGTCAAATCCAGTGACATCATAGAAAACCAGACTTTTGGGTATTAAACAGTATCATCTTTTCACTTTTCTTAGTTTATCTTATTTCCCTTGACAATTTTCTCATGACAAGGACATAAAAACAACTGAACCGTGCATGGTGGCCACTACAGCGGGCAACTATTCAAATGCAGTTTGTTGTTGTTGTTGTTGTTGTTGTCAGGTTCTGTCAAAATATAATATATATCATATAAACCACCATTTTGGAATTGTGTGTCAATCTATTTACTTTACTGCCCAGTACGCCTGTTTCAACAACAACAATACTGATTTAATAATAATAATAATAATAATAATAATAATAATAATAATAATAATAATGATAATAATAATAATAATAATAATAATAATAATATCCAGAAATAGTCCAAGAAATCCAGAAGATTGTTCTTCTCGGAAGTGCCCACATCATCAGAAGGACGCTTTCCATAAACTAACCCTGAAACTGCCTTAGAAGCATGGATTGATTCTGGCACTTCAGTGAAAGCATACAAATATACAAAAAATATATAATAATAATAATAATAATAATAATAATAATAATAATAATACATCTTCTATAAGCTACTCATTTCTTCCAGAAGAGCTCATGCTGGTGCCTATCTTCAGCAGTCATTGGGTCAGAGCCAGGGGACACCCTGGACATACTCCATCACAAGGATAAGACATATGAGACAACAAACATTTATGCACACAGTAAAAAGTTGCCAGTTAACCCAACATGTTTCTAGCCCATGACCAGATCACTCAGAGAAAATCCACACATGCATGAGGAGAACGTGCTAGCCTCACTCAGAAAAGCTGCCTTCAGGTGTTGAACCTGTAAGTGTTTTACTGCAAGGCCAACTTCACCTCCATGATCACATTTAATTAGACTTAAACCCATTTTGATTATAAAAGTGATTTCCTGTTGTGTCTCAACATATTTATTTGTATTCAAGCTGAGACTTTATTCTTTATATGATCGGTCTTTCTGTTTTAGAATAGAAAATTAAAAACGGAGTCTCTGTCAAAAAGACATTTTACAGAACAGAAATGTTCTAATTAATTTAGCTCTAAGCATTTCATTGTTGCTCAAGTCTCCCTCTAGTGGTCATGTGAACACAACACTGATAGGCCTTTGAACCTAAAATATCATATCTTATGAATGTAGAGATGACACACGAACTAATGAATGATTCATTCACATCCATTCAAGCAGGAAGTTTTCTAAACCAGATGGACCTCTTTGGTTTTTGTTGATGAGGTTTGGGTGAACCCTTCAGAATGACAAGAGGGAGTTTGACTTCTTGGTTTCTGGCCAGAGGCACATCAAGCATGACCTGTGAATAAAAACAAATCAGAAAACAAAAAAAAAAAAAGGCCGTAAACAATGGCAACTTGTTTTATCTTACGCATGTGATAAAACCTCCTTCATGAATAACTTGTATTATTTAGATGTGGATGTTCTGTAAGGCTGTTATTCTCCCCAGCAGTAGTCAGCTCTGACACAAATCCCCTTTGAGCGGATGGCAGGATGGAACAGGTCAGACTGTAATTTGAAACCTTTTCCTGGACAAGCCGCGAGGCTCTGACCCCGCCTCCTCCTCACTTATTCTGTTTCCTTCTCCTCATTCAGCCTCTATGTGTGGCTGTTTTCTTCATCCGAGTGACCAAGAACCTTAAACTTGTGGATGTTTAATCTGAGCAACAGTGACTTTATAATGTCGACAGAGGCACAAGTACCTTGATTCTATACTCGAGCTTCATCATGCTGCAGTTGAAGAAAGTAGGGGGGAGATCTGAGGGGATACTCAAAACTTTGGTTATGCTGCAGCTGCTCTCAGCTGGAACAGTGCCTCCTGTCCCGAACAAGATGTCCTTTGTGTGAACCCTCTTCTCCGACTGAGCCACGAAGGTCTGCTTCTCACACAGGTAGAATTTGGGCATTACTGAGCGTGCTGAGCCGTTGAGTACTTCCGCAGTGACTCCCATTGCCTCACCTGACATGTTTAGGAGAAACATAACATTTAATTGACTATGAAAGGCAATACAGAAAGGAAAATGGTGTGTGACATCTGTTTCCCTTGTTTTAAGCCCATTTTTTCAGAGGTCACATTCATTGTGACTTTTCCAGAGCCGCAAAATGAAATCCTGGTTGCAGACTGTTGCTCCTGCAGAAAACATAGAGGCTTTCAGAGAGACGAGCCTCAGAGTGTTGAATAAAATGGCAAAATAGATTAAGTAATAACACACCTTGAGTCCAATGAGTATCATTTCTGATTTGGAGGCAAAAGGAAACTCAGCCTTGGTCAGAAAGGGGAACTCTGTCTTGTTTTTGTGTACAAGCCAGATTGACTGAGCCAGAGTAGCCCGCAAACTGTATCTGATCTCACCCCACTCACCTTTGTAGGATGAAGGCATGTCTCTGTAAGCAGACAAACCAGAGGCAAATTCATCCATCCCATCAGATATCACAAGTGACTCATAATTGATTCAATTAAATAGTAACTTGCTGTAAACAGATACAGTGCTGTGAAAAACATTTCTTCCTTACAGGTTTTTCTCTGTTTTTGCCACATAGTAACACTTAAAGGGATACTACACTGAGAAACTTTTTTTTGTTATTATTTTTGAAAATAATCGCTCACGTTGAGTTGAACTTGCAGGCTAAACATAAAAATAGTCTCTTACACCTATCTCCCACATTAGCCTCTGATAGAAAATAGATGGAGAAATTCCAGGATTTGAAAAGCTGACACTTTACGTTCATAGACTCACCCATCTTGACTCGACAGGGAAGGCTGTTGTTGGTTTAGCATCCAGGAAATGGCAGAGAACATCTTGGATAGTAGAAGCTTACCATTAGCATTATCAACTCCACCATACAGCAGAACTCCCCCAGGCTTGTGTTATTTGTGAAGATAAAACATCCACATTGCAAAGCAAACAGACTCAAAATATCCAAATCCTGTCTTCTGAAGCTACTTTCTCTTCTGGCTGAATTCTCCGTGCTGATACAGGCGCACTGGAGCTTTTTTTCTACCAGAGTATAACTTACAAGTTATTCATTCCTACTAGAGACCACTGCAAATGTATTAAAATATGGGTGAAGGACCTTAAACGTTTCAGATCAGTAAACATATTTAAATATCAGACAAGGGACTCCTGAGTAGAAAAGGTTTCTGCTATTAAATTATTATTTGATATAGGAAGTAAGAAAAACATTCAAACTACGTGACTCTATGTAAAAAAAATAATTGCACTTGTACATTTGTGGATTTATAAGATAAAAATGAACTAATTGGAAGTTGTGTGTGCTAGATAGGACATATCATGTGTAAAACTAACGCTGCATTTCAGAAAAAGAACATCACACCAACAATCAAACACGGTGGTGGAAGTGTGATGGTCTGGGGTCGCTTTGCTGCTGCAGCCCCTTGATGACTTCATGTAATTGCTGGAACCACAAATTCAGATTTTTTTTCTTTCAGAAAATGCGACAGGAGACTGTTTGACCTTTGATATTAGACAGGCTGTTTAAGCCTGATTTATGCTTCTCCATCTGAGTCGGTGCGGAGACATCAAAGTCAGGGGCAATCTGTCAGGCTCACAGAGGATGACGGAGACATGCCCAAATTTTTAAACTTCCATCGAAAGTGATGGAAATCGCAAGCTTTTTATTGGTCAGGATGCCGCTTCCTGTAAATCCGTCAACAGCTCCGCTTTTGCTCTATCAAAATGTAACAAAATGTGACAAGATGCAATGGCTGCGCTCGAGAACTATTTTGTGGTTCAACCCTCCAATCCAACCTCATAAGGCTGAGTGTAAAACAGAGAGGTATTGGGTCCCATTGTTAAAGCCGTCGGTATGACCTGACTAGGAGTTGAACCCTGATATCCCAGTCTGGACACTCTAACACTAGAGTGTCACTGACCCATGACTGAAGAAGTACAAAAACACAGAGCAAACATTTCTTCATGGACAGAAATGATGGATAACATGGGTTTAGAGCATGGTTTAGAGATGGTGACCGCATGAAGAGGTGGAGGAGAATGAAGGACAAATTTGTCCGTGTTATAAAGTCTCTGAAATATATAAACACATTATAGTAAATACACTACCGTAGAGCAGATACATATGTGTAATGGTGGCATGATACCACAGAAAAGCGCTACGCCCTCTGTTGTCCTGGTGAGGAACTGATCTGCAACACTCCCCAGGTGACGGACAAGTCCGAGAGCAAACAGTCTTTGTCAATGAGCTGACAGTAAAATAAATCAGGTATAAATCAGGCTTTATGGTGGAAAACCCTCCAATGTGGCTGACTGATACTAAAACTACATTTTGTAAAGAAAAATGAGATTTCCTCCTAAATGATGTGAGAGATCCAGCCGTGTCTTCCAAGAGTGCCACAGTCAGTTGAATCATTTTTGTCTCTGAGATCTCGACTTTCAGAAAACACTTTTCCCCTCTTTCAGTTGGACATTCTTTTCTCTCTTTTGTGTTATTGGATAAAATGTACTTTTGTTTCTTTTAAGGCTTCGCCATGATAAACACGATACATAAACGTCAATCATCTCTAGCTCGTCTGTTTTGAGTTTTAAACGTGGAATACCACAAAGCATTACTGCTTCTTGCGAGATACGTGACTTTGTGAGACTTCAGGTTACCGCTTCAGAAAGACTCATGTTGCAAACGTTGTATTTGCTCCACGAGGGGCGGAAGGGGCAGAGAAAATATTCATTCACCCTGTAAAGGGTCATTGTAGCACATACTAGCTCACAAAATTAATTAGAAAAAATGGCAAAGTTACATAGCGTACCTTTAAGTTTAAGGTTTAGTTCAAATTTGGTTTGTTTTACCCTTAAAGAACGAAAGCATAATTTGAAAACAGCATTTAGCATTTATTTAGGTTATTTTTTGTCTGATACTGAAACTTGTTCATTTTAATATTTAAGTGACAAAAAGCAAAAAAGGAGTTAAATCTTTTTCACAGTGCTGAATAAGGAGAAGAGCACTTACCTGTTTGGAATCACAAAGCTGAAACGATACACGTTTGTCCCAGAGGCCATGATTTCAGAACCTTGAAATAAAAGACAAATTGCTTGATTAGATTCATGAAACAGGATTCAGCTCAGACTCATTTGTTCTTTTGATTTAACAAAAAGAATACTAACCATCTCCTTTGTTCTTATCCTGAATAATAATATGCTCGAAATAAAAATATTTCTTTTTGTTGCTGTGGACCACTGTGGTCTGTCCTTCCTGTTGGTTCCAAGTTACCTTGGCTTTCCCTTTAGCCCTGACCAACAACTTCTGCACTTTGATCTCCTTACTGGTCACCACTGTCACTTTTCCGGAAAGAAGGTCCCCAGGAGAGTAGGTGCCTTGTCCGTTGACCCTGTCATAGTCCACAGAAAAATGCTTCACAGTCATGATAGACCAACATCAAACAGCTCCTTTAGCAACAACTGATTCTGGAAAATAGGTTTGAATGGTGAACAGTGATGTTGGTGAGACCATAGATTATCAGAGAACCTGTAGCCTACAACGGGTCATGTGATCCAGCATGCAGGTGTCACTTTCACATGTGTAACTCTAACCAGGTGTGCTGCAGAATAAATTAGGTGAAATGAATAAACAATGAACCAACACTCTGTATGTGTGCAAATTTATTCTTTCATGAGTACTGTTGACAAGAATGTGTATTAACAGGATCACAGTTCAGAACAGCAACATCATCACTATAATAAAATAATGTTAAGCAAAGTGTTTCGAATTTATGAAACAGAACAAATTTACAAGGCTTTTACCAATGCTTCCAAGTACATCAGATACACTCCTAACTTCTTTTTTTTCCACAAACATTCTTTGATAATCCAACATCTTCACAAGATGACTTCCATATCAATCTTTTGGCAAAGTACATTTTAATATGGAAAAATATTAAGAGTCATTAGGTGAGGCCAGACTACTGATCGCCTCCTGCCTCTTGCAACATGCTAGTTGGTTAAGACAGTCCAGACAGTTATGAACAATGGCTGCAACTCTTTGGCCATTAATGAACTCAGGCAAGAATTCCATCCATCCATCCATCCATTTTCAACCACTTATCCAGAGTTGGGTTGCGGAGGCAGCAGCCTAAGCCGAGAGGCCCAGACTTCTCTCTCCCCAGCCACTTGGGCTAGCTCCTCCGGGGGAGGGCAAAGGCCTTCACTGGCCAGGTGAGAGACATAATCCCTCCAGCATGTCCTGGGTCATCCCTTGGGTCTCCTTCCAGTTGGACGTGCCCAGAAAATCTCCCCAGGGAGGCGTACAGGAGGCATCCTGACCAGATGCCCAAGCCACCTCAAGAGGAATGTAGCAGAGGGCAATATTTTCATTTCTAGACCCTCACAAATTGGTGCCTTAGTTCATAATGCTACTTCCTCTTTACATGTGGCATTAGATGATGTTGCCCCTGTAAAAATGAAGGTAATTAGGGACAGGAAGTTGGCTCCCTGGTGTAATTCTCATTTACAAGATTTAAAACAAAACTCTAGAAAATTGGAGAGAACATAGCGCTCTACGCACCAGGAGTCCTACTTATCCTGGAAAAATAGTCTTGTGCTTTATAAAAATAAGCTTCGACAAACTAGAACTGCTTATTTCTCAGCGTTAATGCAGGAGAATAAGAATAATCCTAAATTTATTTTCAGTACAGTTGCCAAACTTACACAGAATCATAGCTCTGAACCATCTATTCCCTTAGCCCTCAACAGCAACGACTTTATAGGATTTTTCACAAGTAAAGTTAATTCTATTAGAAACAAAATCTTTAGCATCCTCCCTAATGCGATTTCTTCTTCCTCAGTAAGTGAGGCAGCATCAGAGGTAACTGTAGAACCTCATCTGTGTTTGAACCGTTTGAGCTTTCAGAGTTATCAAAAATATTAGCTTTATCTAAACCTTCAACTTGTATTTTAGATACAATCCCAACCAAATTATTTAAAGATGCATTTCCTTTGGTTACTGCCCCCATTCTAGATATAATCAATCTATCCTTAGTAAATGGATATGTACAACAGGATTTTAAGGTTGCTGTAATCAAACCTTCACTTAAGAAGCCTTCTCTGGATCCAGATGACCCAATGAATTATAGGCCAATTTCTAACCTTCCGTTTTTATCCAAAGTCCTGGAGAAAAGAGTGGCCATCCAAGTATGAGAGCATTTAAACACCAGTGATCTGTTTGAGGAATTTCAGTCTGGTTTTAGAGCGTATCACAGCACTGAAACTGCATCAGTGAGAGTTACAAATGATATTCTAATGGCCTAAGATAAGAATCTTGTGTCTGTTCTAGTCTTGTTAGATCTCAGAACTGCCTTTGACACAGTTGATCACAGTGTTCTTTTAGAAAGGCTTGAACATGTTGTAGGGATCAAAAGAACAGCGCTAGGCTGGTTTAAATCCTACCTCAGAGAATCAGAGAATCAGAGAGAATTTTATTGCCAGCGCTCCAGCAAACCAGAGCACAGGAACTTGACTCCACAGAACAGCCTGACCAAGGTTACACACACACACATATAGACAGAACAGGTACAGGCAGACCACGAGAGCAGCCATAACGGCGCTCATTTCAATAGATGAAGAGGGGATTACATGAGGAGAGTTCGGGGAGGGAGAAAAAGGCTTAGCAGAGTTACTCTGGAAGGGAGTAGCTCTACCATGCAAAAAAACACCTCAACATATAAGCACGAACGTCACAGTTCACAACAAGAGACCCGGAAGGAGGGGGGGGGGGGGGGGGGGGGGGGGGCTGGGATCCTGGTTTCCTCAGCGGGAGCAGCCCATTTGGCGCTCATCCAACTGTATCCACAGGTGGGAGGGAGGTCATGGGAAAGTACAGAGCGCATTGAGTTCCTCCATTTTGATGACCTCGCTGCAGAGACCACAATCTGAAGGCGCGGGGGGGGGGGGGGTTCACAACATCTGTCTGCATTCCTTCCATCGTGGGGGTTGTTGCACGCAACTCCAAGGGTGCTTATGGCGTCAGATTGGATAACAGAACTTTGTTTGGGTCAGGCAGAGATAATTTTCCACTCTGCCTTAAAGTCTGTATTGATCATTCAAGTCCTCCAGTGAAGCCAATTCAGGTATTAAACATCTCCACACCGTCCGGTGACCCTCTCCGAGATGACATCCATTTTGCGCACTAACACCGGTTACGCAGCCAAGACATTGTCCAGCTTACAATTCACCTTGAGTAACGTCCCAGTCTGTGAGGTCTCCGCCCGGACGGTGTCGTCCATGTGTGCGGGTCGCCCTCCAATCGCTCCCGTCATCCCAAATTTTTGGAAAACCAGATATCCTCCCACTCCAATCAGAAGAAATCCAGTTATCATCAGGCCAAATATCCACATATCTTCGACGTCCTCAATGGACAGCTGAGAGAGACAGATGACATTCCACACCTTCCAGGAATCGAGCATATATCATAAACAAAAAAAAAGATCACAATGTTCTTTTAGAAAGACTTGAACATGTTGTAAGGATCAAAAGAACAGCGCTAGGCTGGTTTAAATCCTACCTGTCTGATAGATTTCATTTTGTAAATGTACATGACAAATCTTCTTCATACTCCAGGGTTACTTGTGGAGCACCACAGGGTTCAGTGCTTGGACCAATTCTTTTTACTTTATATATGCTGCCAATTGGTAAAATCATTAGACAGCATGGGATAAACTTTCACTGTTATGCTGACGATACTCAGTTATATTTATCCATTAATCCTGATGAACCTAATCGGTTAGGTAGATTACAGGCTTGTCTTGAGGACATAAAAAAATTGGATGACTCTAAACTTTTTGCTTTTAAATCAAGACAAGACGGAAGTTCTCATCTTTGGACCAGAAATCCAGAAAAGGAAATTGCTTGGTCAATCACCTGACCTGAATGGCATTACATTCATCTCCGAGAACAAAGTAAGGAACATTGGTGTTATCTTTGACCAGGACATGTCATTCAAATCCCAAGTTAAACAGGTTTGTAGGATTTCCTTTTTCCACCTTCGGAATATTGCTAAGATTAGAAGCATCCTTTCCAGGAGTGATGCTTAAAAACTAGTTCATGCATTTATTACATCAAGACTGGATTACTGTAATTCATTACTCTCAGGAAGTCCACAGAATGTAGTTAAAAGTCTTCAGCTTGTCCAAAATGCTGCAGCTAGAGTTCTGATGAGAATTAAAAAGAGAGTTCATATCTCTCCTGTCTTAGCTTCCCTACATTGGCTACCTGTTAAATTCAGAATAGATTTTAAGATCCTCCATCTCACATATAAAGCTCTTAACAGTGGCGGTTCTACATGGAATTACTCCCCGGGCGAGGCCCCCTTTGAGCCGCCATCTCCCATTTTTCAAACCATTTGAATATTCGTTTCAATATTTCAGCCCTATTAGCTCTGTTAGCAATTAGTTGACCCAATTTAACCATTAAAATCCCAGTTAACTGGTTCAAAAAATTGAAAACATGCATCATGAGAGCGTACATACGTACCTTTATCTTTCTCCTCTTTTTTCTTTTTCTTTTTGTTCCTGAATCGGGCACCTGGTGGTTTTAGCCTTTTTATGTTCATCTCTTGGCTCCTTTCCTTTAGTCAGGACTAAACAATTTGACCTTGATGGGTGGGTGACCACAAAATTGTTTTGTTTTTCCTTTTTTTATTCGGCCATTTCACACAATTCAGAAAAACCTGAAAGAACGATAGGCCTGTGTTTATATTATGAATGAAATGTGTGTTAAATGGAATAACATCAAGATGTGATTGACTTTAGCCATGTTAATACAGTTGATTCAGCCCCTACCCGCTCATTTCATTTGGGAAAGACCCAGAGGTGAATTCCCCCGCCGCACCCCTCCCCTTCCTCTTCTTCATACACACACAATGCACCTGAACCCGAGCGCCTGTAGCTGCAGGGGGCGCCAACTTACTGTTTCCAATCCAGACACCGTGATATGACAGATAGAATATAAAACCTCGGTGCGGCGCAGATTTCTTTCTTTTTTATTTTTTTACTCGGCGCTTCTGCGCCCCTTTTGTGTCATGAAAAAATGCCGCCCCGGGCAACTGCCCTGTCTGCCCGTGCCTAAAACCGCTACTGGCTCTTAATAATCAAGCTCCATCATACATCAGTGATCTGATTGTTCCATACGTTCCTAACCGAGTGCTCTCAGACTGCAGGTTTACTGGTGGTTCCCAGAATATCTAAAATTAGGATGGGAGGCAGATCTTTTAGTTATCAACCTCCTCTCCTGTGGAACCGGCTCTCAGCCCTAGTCCGTGAGGCAGACACCTTGTCTACTTTTAAGACTAGGCTTAAAACATTTTTATTTGATAGGACCTATGGTTAAAATCTAATGTTAGCCTAGATCTGGACAAGTGGGGGAATAGAGGGAGGTGGAGAGTACAGTCGGTAAAGACAGCTCTCCCTTGCCCTGCCTCCAACATGCCTCGATCTAAAAAGGCTAGGTTATCCAGAGTTATCTCTGTAGTTATGCTGCTATAAGCTTAGACTGCTGGAGGATACACTGCCTGTTTTTCACACTCTACTACTTTCTTCTACAATCTGCTCTTTAACCGTATTATTTTCTGCAATTTCAGCTGTTAACTTTATTTTTTCTCTAAGTGGTTTTCTCCCTAGAAGAAGCTACAATGATGTTCTGCTGAGCTGTGGTGGCCTCATGGAGGGGGCCATTGTCTAGCACACTGCTGCTAACCACTTAAACATTCTCCCTCTCCTGATAATAACTTTTTGCTTTCCTTAACTTTGGATGTGCTACTACTAGTTTACCCGTTTGATTATAGATTCACTAGGATAAATACAATAAAGTTTATCTCTCACCAAATAGTATATTTACTAAGAAATCACAATGTAACCATAGACACATTGCTTGGTGTGTGTGTGTGTGTGTGTGTGTGTGTGTGTGTGTGTGTGTGTGTGTGTGTGTGTGTGTGTGTGTGTGTGTGTGTGTGTGTGTGTTCCTCAGAGATAGACAGGGAAAAAGAGACTGCTTCAGCCAGAGGCATTGTTTACTCTACGGTATCCAGAATGATAATGAACCGGCCATACAGGAAGGCCCCGCTGGCTGATTCTATCCACCATTGGAGTCTCCCCCTAATGGTAGGCGTGAATTTGAGACAGCCAATCAGTCAGAAGTGGGTGTGTTGGACCAGTTCAGTCTGAAACAGATTGCCTTGAGAAAAGGGCTGAAAAGCAACCCATTGTGCGTGGAAAAAAATTCAGGCTATGTGGATGTGAACACTTCCTACTGTATCTAGGTCGAGCGGAGCCAGCTAGACTTCTTTGCGCATCTTTTGCCCCACTCAAGTGCTCGGAGATTACACGTTCCTAAAAAGTATGTGTGAGCAAACCCTACCGGTGCGGGACCTAGAACAACACCATCTGGACTGGATTGGACCGGGCCAAATGTGGAAGTGGCATTTGTCATATTTGTTTGTACCATAATGTGCTTCATCAACAAGAAATCTCATCCATATTTATTCAAGGTGGCTCCTTGATGGATTAATATATCAGGTCATCTTTCAGCTAAGAAACATTTAGTTTACTGGGTTTACTGGTCCTTTGGAGTTGATGTGTCTGGAGCCTTGGACCTGTTTACCTTGGAGACCCTTGTTTGGGCAATGTATGTTATGATCCTTCCACTCCTTCCACTCCATCCTAGAGGAAAGTGTGAATCATCAAAGAAGAGATACAAACACTGGTGCTAAGTGGATCCAAGCTGTTGAGTTAGACTTTTTAATATCCAATTGTAAAGCTGGTGAAGAAAATTGCGTTGATTAAAAAATACTAGCAGGAGTCTGTTGGTCTGCCACTTAACAGCAATGTAAACAGGCCTTCACAATGTGGAGTAGAATTCATCAGAGGGTAAGCAGGGATACAATGATGATGTTTCATAGGACGGTGGAAGATCCACATCTTGTGTTGTGCTGGGTGGTTGATTTTGGTCTTCAAATGCTTCGATACTTAAGTCATAATATGAAGGAGGTAAGAATGTTATATCTGTCTCTCTGGGCAGGATGATGAGCGGGAGCATGACCTCTGGGTCTGAAGACCATTTGATATTCAAAAATATCTGTGGAAAGAAAAGAGATAATGAGTAAATACATATATACAAACTGCACTTTTTTATGAGCTAACAACTCGTAGAAAAAATGAACCAGACAAAAATGTTGTGAATTTCTGATGGGTAGGACTTGCAGTTAGATGGCAGCAGTCTACTTAGTCATCACCTCTAGAGATATGTTCTCTACAATGATCTTTGTGGTGGAACTAAGAGCTATACAGCAGGTAAAATGTGCACAGTCTGTAACATTTCTGATTTAAAATATCTAAAACGTACTTTGGTGTTTAAAACTTTATTTGTTGACTAGGTGCTCCATCTTCATTAAAACCTACTTTGATTAATTGCTGTGCAGGGCTTTTTCTTGTGTGTTTTCAGCTATTGTGGTTACAAATTCGGCATTTTGACTTTATGTCACAAGACACAGATAAGTACATTTCTATTTACATATTAAAATTCTGCTGTCAAGCACAATCAAGAGCTCAAGAAGAGGAGCTTACCTTCAGTTTATACTCCAGTTTAACGACGGAGCAGTTTATAATAGATGGAGGAAGTTCACTTGGGAGGGTGATGACCTGCGTCACAGTTTTTTTGCCCGAACAGGACTCAACACTGTCACCCTTCGCTTTGAGGACTGGACGCATTTCAACTTTATTTCGACCTCCTCCAGAAAAGGTCCTCTTCTCATACAGGATGAATCTGGGTCGGACTGAACATTTGGAGAGATTGTTGACATCAACTCTGACATTCATGGATTCACCTGCCCAACAGATACACACAGTCAACTTAAACAATAAAAACATTACAATAAAGAAAATAAAACTCTACATCAGGAGGATGTGGATCGAGTGGTTTGTTTAATGATTTCTTCATTGGATGGGTTTGCTTTTTATGGGTGCTTCTGGATTTCTAAAGCTGTTAGTGGTGTCCTAATCAGTGAAGCTTTAAACAAAGATGCAAATATTTTTCTCTAAACAGGATTTTTCCACCTTTGTCCACCCGCCTTAGATATACAAGGGTTCTGTGTAAATAAAACACTTTCTCAAGACTTTCCAGTTGTATTTCTTATTAACAAGATATTTACCAGCTTTGTATCCCATCTTCCTAACGCGGACATCCATTGTGACTTTTCCAAAACCAAAAGGAATGTATTTATCATTGTACGTGTGTTGAGGCAGCTGAAATGAGAAAAAGCATGTCCACAATTCGTAAACATTAATTAGGCTCTTTTGCATAAACAATGGATTCCTTACATAATTTATGTTACAATATTTAAGATGTTTGCTTTTCTTTCCTTCTCACCAGGAGTCTGGGTATGCTCATGTCTGCTCGGGACACAAATGTGTAGTAAATTTCTGTCCTTTTTTTTAGCCTCATTGACTGTTTGAGCTCTGCCTTCAGCTTATGAAGGACTCTGCCAAACATTGACCAGAAAGATGATGGCATCTCTCTAAAAAACAGTAAAAAGAAAGAAATAAGCCTTAAAAAAGAAATTCTAATTTGTTATATATTTCTAATTAACAATGTTGTAAGGTATTGTTACAGATTTTTCTTTAACATCTTTAATATTATTAAGAACATTGTTTGTTTATTAGGTTTTTCAGTTATGTTCAGCACATGCTAGAAAGCGCTGACCAGACAATTACTGGGTTCAATCCAGAAAATAATTTGAAAAGAAAAGTACAAAATAAAAATATTCAATAAAAGAAGAGACAAGAGAAAAATAGTAAGTACCTATCTGGTATCTTGAAGCTGAAGGGAAACACATGTCGCCCAATTCCAATTATTTCACTGTCTGGAAATGAAACATCTGATCAGATTTTTTTTCTTGAATTAACTCTTTAAATAAGGTGAGACAAATTTAAAGTCATACTTTACCATCATGTCTTGTTTCTTTCACGATGTCATGTCTGAAGTTATAATATTTCTCATCATACCAGTAAACATCAGATTTGTCATTATCATAGTGTTCAGTCCAACAAGCACGAGCTTTTCCTTTGGCTATCAAAGCAAGTGAGTTAATTTTTGTCTCTTTGTCGGCTTCCAGGACGATCCGCCCGTTAAGAGTGTCTCCATTTGTGAAAGTATTCCTGCTGTTGATGGCGTCGTACTCGATGTGAAAGGATTTGATGGTCATTTTCAGCCGACAGAAGGAACAGCCGTCTGGCTGGCTTTGGGGTGTTTATATATGAGCACAAGTTTGGAAGGTCTGAGAAGCCCGTTTTACTTGCCTTTTATCAGTTCATAGTATTTTGTCAAGTCAAAAAACAAACTGCTGTGGGAAACTTTCGTGTTGGCATGCCAGGCATCTGAGTGGGCGGAGAGAAACTACTTTTGGAATTAAAAACAACACGTGGATTGCAAAATGCTTTGTCAATATGATATGGTAGAATATCTTACTGCTTGTTTTCGTTTTTAAAATGTATTTTAATGGATTTCCTGCAGAAATGACAACTGAATGAATTTGTGAATGTGTGAGGAGGAATGTGACATGGAGGGATTCAAGAAGCTGCAAAGGCAGTGAAATCGTCTGCTAGATCAGAGACTCCTCTAAATAAAAACCACAGATATGCCTGTAAGGTGATTATTAGATACCTAGAAAAATGGAGAAAAATTCCTCTAAATAAATGTGTGATGGGAGGCATGGTCTCCCATTCCATGTTTGTGTTTCCTTCTACAGCCTAAAGATGTTTGTAGGTTATCCAATAGTATTCTAATATTTGTTTTTGTGTTGCTGTGACCTTTTAGTTAAAACTTTTTTTTTATGTTATGAAGCAAGTTCAATGATATTAGAATGTTTAGCTCCTCCTGTTTCAGGTAAATGGAAAAAAACAGGCAAATGAATATTTATTTAGAGCAAAGGTAAAGGCACCTTTAGTCTAACTTAGCCTTGTGGACCAAAGTTTTTTAAATACTTCACCTTTCAGCCAAGAACAACAGGCCTGGAATCCAAACAATTTCTCTGTCAAGTATTCAACAGTCGCTGACAAGACAACAAAAACAAGGGCACACTGATCTCGCCCTCTGTTATCGGATGCTGCTTTATCGTTCTTAATGAGACGTGCAAACTCCGATGATCCAGGAGACCACGTTTAACTTTTAACCTTATTCCAGACCTCGATTTAGCTTTCAGATGTTCCACTACTTACTGGAATGCTCGCACATTTTTACCAGATGCTGCAATCATGAGCACGAGACAGACAAAACATGGTTTGGGCATTCAGACAGCGGTGATCCTAGGCAGGCTTGGAAAGATCGAGCACCTTTTGGGGGAAAGCGGTCCGTTGTTGGAATCCTGGAACACCTGCATTTAATGGGACAGACTATTCACACCAAGAAACTTTCAATTTTGATTTTAGATCATCCTGGAATTTGCAAGGCGTCAGTAGAAATCCACATGCACAGCTTGTGTACTTCATGGAAGCATTGTGCAGTGATGGTGGCAGGGGAGTTAAGAGTTCGCCCCATAGTTAGACGGTTGTAGGTTTAAACCCCACTCAGTCTGACATCTATCATTGTGTCCTTGGGCAAGACAGTTAACCCACATTGCCTGTTGCTGGTGGTCAGAGGGGCTGGTAGAGCCAGTGTACAGCAGTGTCACCTCTGTCAGTGTGCCCCAGGGCAGCTGTGGCTACAATGTAGCTCATCAAAACCAGGGTGTGTGTGTGTGTGTGTGTGTGTGTGTGCGTGTGTGTGTGCGTGTGTGTGTGTGTGTGTGTGTGTATGTGTGTGCGTGTGTGTGTGTGTGTGTGTGCGTGTGTGTGTGTGTGTGTGTGTGTGTGTGTGTGTGTGTGTGTGCGTGCGTGTGTGTGTGCGTGCGTGAATGACTGATTGTGTTGTGAAGCGCCTTGAAGGCGTTTTAGGACTCTAGAAAGTGCTATATGGAACATAAACCACTTGGCATTATGGAAAATAAGACCAGAGTATCAGTGATGGACATATTTTGGTAGACATACCCAGCAATTAAAATATATTTTTTCTCAAAATCCAATCCAAAAAACATGAAGCAACTAATTCTGGCTTCACCGTTATGCCATGTTTCTAACCATCTAACTTCCATTGTTTAGACTCTAAAAGTGGGAATAGGGATGCAAAACACAATTTGAGCTCTGAGCTCCTAAAACAACAATATAAGTCTGGAGTCAATGCTAATTAGTAAAAAAAAATATTTAATAGATCATTTTATTTCTATAGCACATATATAAACTGCATGAGAGCCTACAGACGTGATGCACATGACATCGTCATAAAAAATATGTTACAACTCCAGGGGAAAACCCGCACACCTTACTGCCTGCATACCATATTGCTGCTGTTCATCTCTGTTATTTTCCAGGTTTTTTCCTGTCAGGTTCAGCTCCATGCAGTGAAGCCTGCTGAAGGCTCCACCCAGCTGCTCCCCATCAAGCTAATCAGCTGCTGCTGCCAAGGAGCTGCTGAACTCTCATTTGGGGAGGTTGTAGAGTCAGAAGGGGTGGTGTGAAAGACCGAGGAGAGAGGAGAGAGAGTAAAGAAGTGAAGTAGAGGACTTGGTTGAGAGCTCAGGTGTTGGAATAGTCACCTTTAGAGTATTTGGAGACTTCATTAAACTTAGCTGCTTTTAGTTAGTCTCTTTGGCGTTTCATGAGACTCAGTTAAACTAGCAGCCTGCATTTTGTCTCTAAAGTAACTCGAGAATTTGATTCATTAGTTCTTGACATTTGAGCACTTGAGCACTTTAAGTTGGAAGCCTATTGTGAGGCCCTTTTGTTACCTCTTTTCAGAAAGAGAGCGTTGTCTTTTGGTTGTTTGGGTTCAAGTAATACTACCCGTTAGCTCTATTAAGGAGCCAACCCCCCCCCCCCCCCCCCCCCCCCCCCACGTCTCTTCCTTTCTCTTTCACCTCTGTCTTCGTGTCTGGTCGGCTTTACAAGCATTCAAAAAAGCATTAACAATTAAAAAAAATAAAAAGAATATAGCCAACACACAGGATGTGTAGTTTTTGTTGCACAGAGGCTTGGGTAGATCGGTCAACAGGAAACTGAGCAGAATGGATTTCTGGGGATCCGTGCTGCAGACACAGAAATCTGTAGGTCTGACCAGACTGGGTTACCGTTGTATGGTGGCAGAAGGAATGCTGTCCAGAACAAGGACCAAGGGCCAAGCAGGAATCAAGATCCAAAAGGCTGAGGAGGTCTCCTGAACCAGGCACAGGTCAACAACCAGGTAACCAGAGTCCACATAAATATCCAAAAGACAAAGGGTGTTTCTCAATGTCAAGGCTCCTTGCGAGGCGATGCCTGGCGAGGCCAGGCACCTTGCTTACGAAGACACTGTCCTTCCTTGGTCAAAGAAAACGGTTAAATGGAGCAGACTTGCATCACGTGACCTGCGACTTCGACAGCGATCTGTAATGTCACGTGACACGGGATATAACGTTATATTTTATACATATTAGTTTCAATGTAATTATATAATGAGACTTTTACTTTTTAAATGGTTTCTGTTTGAATTAAATATATAAGTGAGTTACTACCCTCTAGCCACCAAAGCTGCAACTACTAAGCAACCCACCAACCACAGATAACTTTGGATCTAAAAAATACATTTTAAATTAGCTGACTCACTTTTAAACTTGAAATTTGCCCCCGAAGTAGCTGCCGGCTTTTGATTCACCATCCTTTTGAAAATACAGCGGTGTATTCCGGGTAATTTTTGACCAAGGCTAGGCTACAAGACACCTCCCGAGCATCCTTGCTCAGCTAGGTAAACGGCTAATAAACGGAGAACACACGCCTCGGTAGAACATGAACATTGGAACACGTCTTGGTGACTTCTGATGACGTATCTCCTAGACAACCGGGGCGGGCCAAGACATCAAGGCGAGGTTCCTCGGCATTGAGAAACACCCACAGGCTAGGAGCAGGGATCAACAGGCAGAAACAGGATCAAAATCAGAGGCTTTAATCGTTGATAATGGTGGAGTTGGATATCTATGGAAGAATGCTGGCGATGATCTGGCATCAGAGCTGTGGCTGGAGAGAGTTTATATCCTGAGGAGTACAGGTAGAGATAATTAGGCAGACACAGGTCAGCATGGAGGAGTGCTTGAATGAGTGAAAAGAGCCATGGAAACCATTGCAGGAAGCTGAAACATGACAATGACAGTCCCCTTCAGTCACATTGCAGTCTTTTAATCACCAGAGGGGAAGGTGGGGTACATTGCAGATGCTTCATAAGAAGGTGGAGGTTCCATAGCTTGTGGTGTGGTGCCCCGTGTTGGTGGAGCTGGATTCCCAAATGCTTCAAATCCACAGTCTGAATAAGAAGGAGGTAAGTGTCTTATATCCAACACTTCAGGTAGAATGATGATGGGGACTTTGATCTCCAGGTTAGAAGTAAATCTGATATCCAGGTATACCTGTGAGGGGAAAACACCTGAATAAGTAAATAAATACCAGACATCTACAGTGGAGAGAATAAGTATTTGAGCAGTGAGGGCATTTCAAAGTGAACTATTGACACAAAATTTGCAGTAGATTTTGCCATCAAGCCAAATATTACATTTGTAGAAAGGAATCAGAACATTAAAATATACAAGTATACAAATCATAAATAAAGTGAAATGACACTGAATAAGTATTTAATACTTTGTAGAAAAGCCTGTGCTGGTGACCAGCTTCTAGATGCCTCTTGCATGGAGAAGCCAGTCGTCTGCACTGCCCTGGAGTGATTCTGGCCCTTTCTTCCACACAAACACTCTTTAAATCTTGAAGGTTCCTTAGACTTAAACTTGTTTTATAAACTTAGATCTTCAGTTTTCTCCAAATATTTTTCTATGGGATTTTGGCCAGGTTATTGACTGGACCATTCAAAAAACTTGATTTTCTGTCTTTGAAACCAATTTCATTGTCTAATTGGTTTTGTGGTTGTGTTTTGGGTCTTGCTGAAATGTACACCCTCTTTAAACTTTCAGACGTCAGCAGTTTTTAATTCAGAAAGTCCCAGGACAGTTCTCCATTCATCCTGCCTTCAGTAATATGAAGTCTGCCCGTACCCGTTGTTGTAAAGCAACGCCGCACCATGATGCTTCCACCGCCAAAATTAATGGTTGATACTGTGTTCTTGGGATGGTGTACAGTGCCATTTCTTATCCAAACATGGTGTGTAGAGAGATAGCCAAAAAGCTCAATTTTGGTTTCATCTGACCATATGATTCTCCAAATGCTGTTTTGCAAACTTTAACCAAGCCTCAACATGCATTTTGTTCAGCAGTGGAGTCGTGCATGGTGAGTTTGCATAGATGCCATGGCGGTTCTGTGCATTGCTCATAGTTTTCTTTGAAACAACAGTATGTGCTGATGCAAGGTCTTCCTGAAGTTCTGTCGAGTGGTTCTTGGCTCTTGGAGAACTCTCCTGATTATTCTTTAGACTCTTCGACAGGGATCTCATATATGTGTGTGTGTGTGTGTGTGTGTGTGTGTGTGTGTGTGTGTGTGTGTGTGTGTGTGTGTGTGTGTGTGTGGGTGGCTGGCTGTTGAATTGGAATCTTGGGCATATTGGCTGTCTTGGGGGCTTCTCCCTTAATAGGGAGTGCCCTCCAATGCTTGGCACCCCAGTTTTTGTGTCCAAGGGTGCCATCTTCAACTACAATCCTCACTATCCCTATGGGTTGGGGTGTGGTTGGGAAGATGGCGCTCACGCCGCTGAGTGGCAGGGCCAGGGTTGCTTGGTTGCTCAATTCTGGCTGTCCCTTGTGGGGCGGGGTGACAGAGGCACAGGAGGTGATTGCCCCATAATTGGAAGGTTGCAGGTTCAAGACCCACCCAGTTTGTCGCTGTGTCCTTTGGCAAGACACTTAACCCCCCTTGTCTGCTAGTGGTGTTTGGAGGGACCAGTGGTGCCAGTGCTTGGTAGCTTTGCCTCTGTCAGTGCGCCCCAAGGCAGCTGTGGCTCCATCATAGCTCATCCCCACCATTCTGGAAATGCACTTAAAACATTTCCATCAAAACACTTTTCCATGATAAGATTACAAATATCTCGGGACAGTTCTTTGCTTTAAACCCATCATGACGTCATTCCTGTGGGCCTCCTGGGTATAGAGAAACCTTTATAAGCCATCAATTAGGATTAAAGCAGATGATATTGGTAGGGGGTGGGGTTTCTCTCTCAGTACGGACAGATTCCAGGTGATCGCCTGGCTTTTTATGCCATTTTGTACCTTGTTATCTTGATGTGTTTAATTTTCCCTGTACTTTTTTATTTTATTACATACAACTAAATTCATGGATTTAAATGTGCAATTTTTTTTGCATGAATTAAATACTTGAGTTTATATTGACATGTGGTGGAAATTTTGTGTCAATAGCCCATTTAGAAAAATTCTTACTGACAAAAAATGTTCATGTGTCAAATACTTATTTTCTCTTCTGCATGATTTATATTATTTATTTTAGCATTAACCTAGTATGAAAACCATATTTCTGTCATGTTGTCACTAGATGGCACTATGTCATCATCATTGCTTTCTGTGAGCCAGATTAATTCTCTGCTTCTGCATTTTTGCTTTATGCCACAGGAAAACACATGTTTTATAAGAAAGTGTTCTATTTGAGAGGTTTACCTGCAGTCTGTACTCCAGTTTGAGGATGGAGCAGTTCAATATAGACGGAGACAGTCCTGTTGGGATGGGGATGACCTTTGCTACAGTTCTTCTGCCAGAGTTTGAATCAACACCATCAACTTTTGCCTTGTGGATCTGATGTGTCTCAAGTTTCCTCTGTCCTTGGGCGAAGAAGCTCCTCCTCTCATACAGGATCAATTTGGGTTTCACCGAACGACTCGACTGGTTGTTGATCTCAATAGTGACGTTGATGGCCTCACCTACCAGGTGGAGAGACAAAGTCCGAAAGTCGGATCAAAAAGGACAAATAAACCAGTCATGACTGAATGATGGTTTGATTTTCAGGCTTTTCTAACAGAAACTAGGATAAAGGCACTAACTGTTAACAATTGCCAGCTGCCACAACCCTTGGGCCCTAACGTCCCCCAGTTGGTAGACTTTGAAGCACCAAAATTCAAGTCTCAATCAATAATTGTTTACGCTCTCCAAATACAACTACAATCAAAACAATTCAGATGGAAAACAAAGCATTTTAGAGTATTGATAAAGACACACAATATTACTGGAACTATATTTTTGAAGAGCATCGGGCCCTCACGGTGTCTGCTGGAAAAAAACTCTGGCCCTTGAGGACCACTGCTCTACACCAACTGCTGCCCCTCAAGCCACCAGTCTGTGAAACTGGTCAAGTTCACTGGTGACACCACCCTTATTGGTCTCATCTCAGATGGGGATGAGTCTTCATACAGAGAGGAGGTGGCACTTCTGGCGTCCTGGTGCAGTAACAACAGCCTTAACCTGAACATGCAGAAGACAGTGGAGATGATTGAGGACTTCAGGAGAATACCAGCTCCACTGCCCCCATAACCCTGACAGACACTCCTATTCCAATAGTGATCTCCTTCTGCTGCTTTGGGACCACCATCACCCATGGACTCAGGTGGGAGATGTCCATCAGCTCCCTCATCAGGAAGACTTGTGTTTTTGTGACAACTGAGATAATTCTGCATGTCAACCATCATGATGGTCCAGTTGTATACGGCCATCATCGGGTCAATCCTCAGCTCACCTCCCCATCACTGTGTGGTACACAGGGGCCACTGCCATGGACAAGCAAAGCCTGCAATGTGTGGTACGCTCAGCAGAAAAGGTGATCAAATGCAACCTTCCATCAATACACAAAGTGCACAGCGCACCTCCAGGGTCGGATAACAGCTGACCCCTCTCACCCTGGTTATGGACTGTTTGATACTCTACACTCAGGAAGGAGGTTCAGCTCCTTACGAACCAGGACCTCACACCACAAAAACAGCTTCTTCCCCTCTGCTGTAATAACTCCTAAACAACTAATAACCATTTCCACCACATAGATCTGCACCAGTCAGCAAATTTCCTAAGCTTATGATTGATTGTTTATCTTGCTATGTTCCCGATGGTTGAACGTTGCTCTTTCCAGAAAAGGTATTTACCAGGTTTGTATCCAATCTTCTCAATACGAACATCAAATGAAACAGTCCCAGAACCAAAAGAAAATTTTTTATATTTACACCCATGCTGAGGAACCTGAAATTCAAACCACACATTTCAAAATAGTGATTATTTATTCATTAAATTATAGCTCTTGCATAGACATCCTCCCATTAACTCACCATGAGTCTTGGCACGTCCATGTCTGCTCTTGACACAAACGTAAAATGAACTTTTGTTTTTTTCTTCAACTTCATTGACTGTTTAAGCTCCGCTTTCAGCTTGTGAACAACTCTACCGATAGATGAGTAGAAAGACGATGGCATTCTTCTGTAAAGGAAAATGACAAACAATAGTTAGAACATCACAAAACTAAATGAATGAATATGAATATATATATATATATTCATATATATATATATATATATATATATATTCATATATATATATATATATGTGTATATATTTAAAAAAAAGCAAAAGTACACTTCAGGTATCTTGAAGCTGAAAGGAAATAAGTGTTTTCCTTTTCCAATTATGTAACTCCCTGAAAAACAGTTAAAACAGCACATCAGTATTTAAAAGCGAGGGTATTTTGTTAAATTCATACAGAAAATCTCTTACCATCTTGCCTGGGCTCTTTCAGAAGCATGTGCTGTTGGATACTGTAATATTTCTCATCAGACCAGTAAACAGGAGTTTGGTTCTCCCCGTAGTATTCAGTCCAGCGAACACTAGCCTTTCCTTTGGCTAAAAACTCAAGTGACATGAATTTTACCTCTTTGTCTGTTTCCAGGACAATCCTTCCCTTAATGGTATCTCCATTTGTAAAAGTATTCCTGTTGTTGATGGCATCGTATTCAAGTTGAAAGGTTTTGATGGTCATCTTCTGTGGAGCAACAAACACAGACTTAGGTAGAAGTTAAATGAGCTTTGCTCACCTGCTCTGGGGCATTTATGAATGCTTCAAAAAGTCATGAGGTAGGATTTTGCATTTCAGGAAAAGAGTGTAAGTTACTTCCAAAAAGAAGCCGCTGATCCACAAACATGACGGGAACCTGTTGAGTGGAAAATATACAAACGCCTTACATTATATTTGAAGATAAGAGTCTCCCGGAACTTGTTCCCTACAGTCCAAAGCATGAGCGTTGCATCCTTGGGGTTAGGGTGACCAGATCCCAACTTGCCAAATATGGGACAGAGACTGAGAGTGTGGGACAATTTGAAATTTTTGTGCAATGAGATAAAGTAAAAAACAAACTCTTTTGTACGATTATTTGAGGGTAACTGATCTAGGTCACTTTGATCAAGTTTCTATAGCTGACCTTCGAAATACAATCTGGCTTAAACGGGCAGGAATTGTTTTGTCTCGTTTCACTCAAGTGCAAACACCCAAGGACTCACTATGTTTTCAGTTAGAATTAAACGTGGCATGCAGTCTTGCCTTACACACATAGTTTCCTGGTTTTCCTACAATAGGAAGATGCCGACACTTAAAGGGGTGGCGACTCAGACAGGGGGAGTCTATAACAAATTATGTTGGCTAAAGTCCAGGTTACTTCTTGGAGACAATCCAAAGAGTCCAGAGGCCTTAATTTAAAAACTTTGTGTAGAATCCTTACAAAAACCCTACTTAAGCTCAGGGGGGAATAAAATGCCTTGCAAACTAATTTTCCTACCTATAAAACACAGCTTATGCACGGCTCCTTGTAGTTTCTGCTTTATAAGCAACACCTGTCCTAGAAATGAGCTCAGGTATTTCTGGATCACACCCCGCCTCCTACACAACCACTGTCTACCATAAATAGACAACGCAAACTGTGTTATAAATAGTGTGCATATGAATAAGCCTGATTATTGATGGCATGTCATGGGTAACCATGACAACCGAGATGGAAATCCAAGATCTGGGGTGCGACGTAGTCATGGTAAAAATGTTTTATTCCCTTCTAGCTGCCCCACGCCGCTGCAGCAGCTGTGAGCTCTGGAGCCACAGAGTGATCAGCGGAATAAGTAAACAACATTTAAGGAAGTGATCAGATGGCAATAATCATTGATACTATCGATAAAGCGGCACCATGGTGCACAGGGAGGGATCGCTGTCTTTCCAGAATTAACGGAATCATTTAATAAAAACATTTCATTTAACTCAAAAGGGCTTTAGGCAGGAAATTTTGTTCATATCAAACAAATGAGCTCAACGCTGAGCAGACATAAGAGGAGGCCAGCATTATACCACCATGTAGGATAAGGATGTAACCCCCCCAAAATAAAGATGTCTGTAAGCACTTTGGGACATCTGGCGACCGAGTCGGACCCCTCCCAGTGGTACATCAGGGTATCCCCAGTGCTCGAGGTCTCCCCTAGCATGCATCTCTTCATGTGGAGAAGCCTCACATGAAAAAATCCAGGTGGAACCATAGCATGTATGGCTGACATCATGTAGCCTCATCACTGACAGAGCTGTGACAGTATGTGAAGTTTCACACAGAAAATCCGAGCAGAGAGATCTACAGCTTTAGCCTGAGAGAGTCTGGCTGTCATGAGGGAAGAGTTCAGTTCCACTCCCAGGGAGCTGATCGACTGGGCTGAGATGAGAGAGCGTTTTTTAGGAGAATCCCAGGTTTGACAGGTGCTTCACTGATGTTTTGATTTGGATCTCTGCTCCTTCCTGGACCAAGCCACCAGGAGCAGATTGACCTGATAAAACAAAACCCTTGTGCCTGTTGCATGGGAATAACCAAACACAAGTTGGTTGTAATGATACTGGACTCTACTGAAAGAGAAAAGCTGATCAAAAGCAATCAAACATTTGAACTGGAACAGGTTGGAGATGGGGTGCACTCCTCCCATTTCTTGGGAATCAGTAAAAAACAGGAGTAAAACCCCTGACCCCTCTTCCTCACGAGGGACTCGCAGAATGACCGCTTGGAGAGTAGTTCCTCAAGGCCGGAAAATTGTTCTGGTGAGGACAAATCTGTATCCACAATCCCACTAATGGGCTCGATACACTGGAGGCAACATCGCCTCTCCTCCATTCATTTTCAATAAGACATGCGCGACAAAACAATAATCGTGGGTCTCCCTCCTACTAAGAAAACGCGAAAAACATGCGTGTGAGATTTTGCGCTCGTGCACGTGTCGTGCACAGGCGACCCAGCGACGTGATCCCAGAAAATTGAAATATTTTCAACTTTTCATCGATGTCGCTCAGACGAGGACCAATCAACGGAGGTTTCACTCCCTGACCAAAGAGCGGACAGGATGCTCCGTGCAAACATGGACGAGAAGTTGATACTTGCAGTGACGGATTTCCCAGAACTGTACAATATTTCTGCCAAAGAATATAGAGATATTCACAAAAAGGCCGCGGCATGGGAAATTGTTGGTGCCGGAACTCTAGCAGCACCTTGTGAAACATCATATCTACCGCTTTTTTAACTCTGAACCGTTTAAATAACCTTAATTCCCTCCAACCTGACACACCCAATCAAAAAACCGGAAAATTCGATTTTGCCATGGAACAGAATGCGTCAACGGCTTTGCCGCTGGCCGCTGCCGCGGGTTGCCTCCTGTGTGTCAGGTAATAAAAGCGACAGCGACGAATTTCGCTGATCGCAGTCGTTTGTCGCCTCGTGTGTTTCGAGCCCATAAATGAGGGAGGGTGGGATCAAAAGTGAAGCATGTGACTGTTTTCAATGGAATTGTGTTATTTGTTCATATGGCAAACATAACGTCATTCCTGAGCATGTTCTGAAAGCAGTTGTGTGTGTGTCACCTCTGTGAGGCGCATTGTGTCCAAGAGCCAGGGTCAAGCCCCAGCCGCCGTTGTTCAGGGCTGGTTTACATCACAGGACGTCTGAGCAAGATCAAAGCGCCGCTTCGTGGTGAGATGCATGCATGGAGGTGACATAGATAACGCATGATAGATCAGAGACTCTTCTAAATAGAAGCGGCTGAACCACAGATACGTCTGTAAAGAGATTGTTAGAAACCTGCCTCTTTGAAAGGAGTATAAATACTTTAAACAAGTCAGATGGGAGGCATGGTCTCCATCCCATATTTGTGTTTCCTCCCACAGTCTAAAGATGTTGATGGGTTGTCCAATATTCAAATATTTTTTTGTAGCGGGGACCTTTTAGATACAAACGTGTTTTTGTTGTAAAGCAAGTTCAGTGATATTAGAATGTTTACCTCCTTGCCTATTTCAGCTAAATGGAAGAAAAGGATTCAACACACGCAAAAAGCACTTACAGGCTTGACATGAATGTTTATTTAGGTCAAAGGTAAAGACACATTTAGTCTAATTTAGCTTTGAGGACCAAGGTTTATCAAATACTTCACCTTTCAACCAAGGAAAAACCTGGAATCCAAACAATTTCTCTGTGAGGTATTCAAAAATCACTGATAAGACAACTGATACAAGGGCACATTGAACTCAAACACCCAGTGTTATCGGATGTTGCTTCGTCGTTCTTAATGAGACATGTAAACTCCAACGATCCAGTCCCACATTTAACTTTTAATTACATTCCAAACCACATTTTAACTTTTAGGTGTTCTGCTTCTTACTGGAATGCTTGCACCTTTTCCAGAAGTTGCAAACAGGAGCAAAAGGCAAAGAATTGTTTGGGCATTCAGACAGCTGTGATCCTAGACAGGTTTGGAAATATCGAGCACCTCTGAGAGGAAAGTGGTCCATCTGTTTGTTGGAATGCTGAAGCACCTGCATCACCTGGATGGACCATCAGTTACATCACCAACAGGCCAAACTACGTGAGGCTGCATAACTGAATGTCTGATGAGGTTCTGTGCAGTACGGGAGATCCGGAGGGTATGGGGTTCGCACCCTTTCTCTTCAGCTGCTACACCTTGGACTTCACCTACAACACCAGCAGATGTCACCTACAGAAGTTCTTAGATGACTCAGCCATTGTTGGCTGTGTGTCTGAGGGGAATGATCTGGAGGTCAGTCATCATGGACTTTGTGGACTGGTGTGAGCGTAACCACTTTCGCTTAAACACCAGTAAAACAAAGGAAATGGCGACTGACTTCCAGAGAAACACTCCTCCTCACTCACCAGTAAACATCCAGGGAGCAGACATTGAGGTGGTGGATACCTTTAAGTACCTGGGTGTTCACCTCAACAGTAAACTGGTCACACAACACAGATGCTCTGTATAAGAAGGGCCAAAGCCACCTCCGCCTCCTGAGGAGGCTGAGGTCCTTTCCATCCGCTAAACTCCTTTTACCACTTTGTTGTTGGCTCTGTTATTCACATTGCTGTGGTCTGTTAGGGTGCAGAAAGCTCTGACAAGATATGAAGAGACTGCAAAAGCGTTAAGAAAGCTAGCTTGGTTCGAGGCGGCCCACTGGATTATGTGTGTGAAAGAAGGATGCTGGTGAAGCTGACCTCCATCTTGGAAAACCCCTCCCACCCTCTGCATTCCACTGTGGTGGTTACGGACAGCTCTTTTAGTTGCAGACTGAGAAATCCAAGATTGAAACTGGAACTCTACCATAGGTCATTCATCCCTTCTGCAGCAAGAGGGTATAACTCCACAGTTTAACTGGTACTGGCATTATCCTGTTAACTATGCTAACATCAGTGACATATTCAGTACATGTGCAATACCTGTACATTTGTATGTCTGTGTCCTTTATGCTGTTTCTTTTAGGAAAAGTCTCCATTTTTATTCATTATTTTAATTACAGAAAGTTACAATAATAAGCCAATACCTTTTTGTATTTACCTGTATTATTTTTTTTTCCTATTCTCTAAGTGTGTGTGTGTGTGTGCGTGTGTGTGTGCGTGTGTGTGTGTGTGTGTGTGTGTGTGTGTGTGTGTGTGTGTGTGTGTGTGTGTGTGTGTGTGTGTGTGTGTGTGTGTGTGTGTGTGTGTGTGTGTGTGTGTAGCCTTAATGAGGCCCTCACTGTGGGATTCATGAAATCTATTCTATCTTAATGGGACAGACTATTCACACCAAGAACCGCATAATTTTGCCTCTAGATTACCCTGGGATTTGTAAGGTGTCTGTAAAAATCCACATGACCCAGCTCTTGTATTTCATGGAACCATGGAAGATGAGGACTAGAAAGTCATCGATGGATATCTTTGGTAGACATACCCACCCATGAAAAATATAGTTTTTCCTCAAAATTCAATCCATAAAACATGAAGAAAATAAGTATGGCTTTACTGTTATATGCCATGTTTCTAACTAATGCCCAATGTTTTGATTGTAAAAGTGGGAATAAGGATGCAAAATGACAATTTAGGAACTCTGAGCTCCTTCTATTTTAAATCTTTTATATATTTATAATTTTTTGTTCTTTTGAAGCACCTCATGATTTTTTTCTTGACAGACATAAGTTTTCTTTCTTCACTTTCTTTAGAACACCCACAATATAAAGTCTGGAGTCAATGTTTATTAAAAAAAAATTATATATCAGGTTGCACACTTGTATCACCTCCATACATTTGTAAAGGAGAAATACCGTAAAAGAAAAGGATAAAATAAAGTAAAAGTAATTTTTTAAAGTTTTTTTTAAACATGGATAACTCACTTCTCCATCCAAAACAACCATAAATGTATAGGCCCGCAATAGAAATATGCATTTATTGGCCACATTTAAGGATTTTTGTATTTGTAATAAATAACTAAGTTTTATTGACCATGCATGCAGAGGAATATGATCCCAGAAAGGATTATTTACACCAGGAGTGTAATTCGGCCATGACAGTCCCCTTCACTCACATTGCAGTCTTATAATCAACAGAGGGGAAGGCGGGGTACATTGCAGATGTTTCATAAGAAGGTGGAGGTTCCATAGCTTGTGGTGTGGTGCCCCGTGTTGGTGGAGTTGGATTCCCAAATGCTTCAAATCCAAAGTCTGAATAAGAAGGAGGTAAGTGTCTCATATCCAACACTTCAGGAAGGATGATGATGGGGGCTTTGATCCCTGGGTTAGAAGAAAATTTGATATCCAGGTATACCTGTGGGAGAAAAGCACATATGAGTAAATAAATACCAGTCACCCTGATTCCTATCATTGCATTTTAGCATTAACCTGGTGTTAAAAGTGTATTTACATCATTATGTCACTAGATGTCACTGTGCCATCACCATTGCTTTCTGTGAGCTAGACTGTTATTCGTTGTTTATGATTTAATCTGTTGACAAGATGATGCATCTTTTTGAAAAGGTACACTATTTTCCTGTAACACTGGCCTTTAAAGATTTGTTAATAAAGTTTTCTAACTGCCTCAGCATTTTGGCTTCAGGCAATGTACAATTTACATAAAAACACTCTATTGGAGAAGTTTACCTGCAGTCTGTACTCCAGTTTGATGATGGAACAGTTCATTATAGATGGAGACAGTTCTGTTGGGATGGGGATGACCTTTGCAACTGTTCTTTTGCCAGAGTTTGGATCAACACCATCAGCTTTTGCCTTGAGAACCTGACGCGTTTCAAGTTTCCTCCGTCCTTGGGCGAAGAAGCTCTTCTTCTCATACAGGATAAATTTGGGTTTCACCAAACGACTCGACTGGTTGTTGATCTCAGTAGTGACGGTGATGGCCTCACCTAGCAGGGGGACAAATAACAGTCATGACTGACTAATGTTTGGAGTTTTTGTTTAATTTTTAGATTATTTTGTTTTTGGTTTATTGTCTCCATGGTTGTTTTTGGCAGATGTGTAAATAAATCTACCCATTATAATTATCCATGTTGGCATGTCCTCGGACACAGTGTTGTGCTCACCTTCACTTCTACAGACAAAGGGTTCACCAATTCAATTGATTTTGGCCTTTTAGCCTCAATCCTGCAAACTTCAAAATAGCTTTTGATGACCTTCATGGACAGAAATGGCTTATTTGCTTTTATTTTTATTACAAAGCTCCTTTCACCTCACAGTTTAGATGCTCTGCTCTGTAGTGGTGGTAAAACACGTCTGCAATGCTTTCCTCAGAAGCAATTGACCCTAGTACATGTTGGACATTCTTACAGCAATCAAACCTTGAAGGTTTAAATGCACACTCACACACACACACACGTGCGCGCACGCACACACACACACAGCCTGAAGCGCAGAATAAGGAATGCAGAATATCAGCAGGGGGACAGATTGAGACAGAATTTCATGTGTCTGTGACAGTGTGTGTCCTGTCACTGTGACCCGATTGATCATGCACACTGGCTGCTTGAGTAAGGAAGATCTCTGTTTGGCTGACTGGTTAGCTTGCGTGACTTTCACCCGGGAGTCTGGGGATTGAATCCTGATCAGAAAATTGTTTTTATATCCGCACACAGATCTCTCGGAATAATTCGCAACATTGACGGCTTCAGCAACTTTGTGCCACTCCGTGGATTTTCTCTTATTTGTTTTGCAAAAGCACTTCCTTTCATTTCTCCACCTCACCCACAAGTACCTCAATTTCTGCTTCTGTGAAATTGTGCTTCCTTGATCTGCCTTGATCTACGGTCGGCATGTCATTGGCTTAGCGCTGCAACAGCCGGCTTATGTAAATGTATGAGATCCACAAGGCACTTTGCATTGACTATTTATGGCAGTAAGTGGGCGTGGTGAGGGCGGGATGTGACTAAAATGCAGCTGAGAAACATTCTCGTTAGTCTCCGATTTATGAAGCAGAGATTGCGTGCAGCTGTGCGTACTCCATGTTTGATAGATCACAAACCTGCTTGGCGTGAGTACATTTTTTTCGCTGAGCTTAAGTGCGGTTTTAGTAAGGATTCTACGCAATGTTTGATAAATGAGACCCCTGAACTGTAAACACTTTCCTCCAGTCGCTCTGTGTAGCTAGCAGGGAATTTAATCTCCACAGTTGTGAAGAAGTGATATGTTTCTAGACTTTAAATGATTCTTATAATCAAAAATAACGTAGAAGTAATGGCTCACAAAAATAACTAATAGTTCCAGGAAATTTTTGTCTCAATAGTACCAAAGGTAATATTTTAGATTGTGCATTTTGTTGCTCTGGAAGGTGTAAAATCCCATGATACATGCCCTTTATGGGCCATTCCCACCTGGTCGGCCCAGCCCAGCCCAGCCTGCTTTTTTTCAGGGTGCAACAAGACTGTTTTGTCAGCCCTCTTTCTGAGGTGGTCTGCTTCAGGCTGACCAGGGCCAACACACCCACTGCTGACTGATAAACTGGCTTATCAGTCTGCAAATTCACATTAGAGAAAGCCTCTGATTGGTGGGTAGAATCAGCCCACATTAATTAATTACCATTCATTGCTGATTACCTAGAAGCTGAAAATGTCTCTGACTGCATTCCTTGCGTACCTTAGGATGTGTGGAATCAACCGGGCCAGGCTGGAGCCAACTGGAGCTATCCGGGCAGGGCCGACCAGGTACGGATGGGAATGGCCCATTTTTTAATCTAAAAAAAATTATTCTCCAGCCTTCATTAATTAAAATCATTGCTGCTAGTTGGTGTGTCCAATGGACGTAAGGTGCCTTCATGAATAATGGCAAAAATATGCAGTTCTACCTATGCCTGCCTTTGATGACGAGAGTTGTAGGTCCAGTTTCAGAACAACAGCAGTTTTAAAGTCACAATGTCCACAGATCTGCATTCCTCCAAACACATTATAAGATATTTACCAGGTTTGTATCCAGTCTTGTCAATACGGACATCAAATGAAACAGTCCCTGAACCAAAAGCAAGGTGTTTATCTTTACACCCATGCTGAGGAACCTGAAATGCAAACCACATATCACAAAACAGATTCATTCAGTCAATTATGGAACTACAGCTCTCTTCATTTGTCTCACCATGAGTCTTGGCACGTCCATGTCTGCTCTTGACACAAATTTAAAATGAACTTTAGTTTTTTTCTTCAACTTCATTGACTGTTTAAGCTCTGCTTTCAGCTTGTGAACGACTCTACCGATAGTTGAGTAGAAAGACGATGGCATTCTTCTGTAAAGGAAAATGACAAACAATAGTTAGAACCTCAGAAAACTAAAGGAATGAATAAATATATAAAACAAAGATGCAAAAGTACTCTTCAGGTATCTTGAAGCTGAAAGGAAATAAGTGTTTTCCTTTTCCAATAATTTCACTTCCTGAAAAAAATAAAGTTGAAACAGCACATCAATATTTAATAGGCAGGGTATTTTATTTTATTCAATTCATACAGAACATCTCTTACCGTCTTGCCTGGACTCTTTCAGAATGTGCTGTTGGATACTGTAATATTTCTCATCAGACCAGTAAACATGAGATTGGTTGTCCCCGTAATATTCAGTCCAGCAAACACTAGCCTTTCCTTTGGCTAAAAACTCAAGTGATTGGATTTTCATCTCTTTGTCTGTTTCCAGGACAATCCTTCCATTAATGGTATCTCCATTTGTAAAAGTATTCCTGCTGTTGATGGCATCGTATTCAAGTTGAAAGGTTTTGATGGTCATCTTCTGTGGAGTAACAAACACAGACAGAGGTAGAAGTTACAGTAAATAAGCTTTGCTCACCTGCTCTGGAGAGTGTATACGAGCAGAAGCTTGCAGATCCTGAACAACCTGTTTTCCTCGCTTTAGTCATGATGAGAAAAGTGACGAAATAGGTGCTTCCTAGCTTGCAGTTCAGTTTTGGTCAAGAACAACACAGATTTATTTATTTGCTCATGAACCTCACGGGCAAAATATTGTTCTGTCACATTAGTCACCTACTGTCAGATTTTCCATTTGTTTTTGTAAATATTTCCAGCAGGTATTACTGTACATATAAGGTGTAATGTTTCAAAAGTCCTGAGGGAGAATTTTGTATTTCAGTAAATCGGTGTCAGTGACCTCCAAAAAGAAGCTGCTGGACTGGAACCTGTTGAGTGGAAATTTCATCCTGTCCAAAGACATGTTTGTTAAATCAGTAAGAATCCTAAATTGTTATAAATTAACCCATATTAGTTGCAACGGTTCCCAGATATTTTCAGTTCAGCTTCTATAAGTAGCAAGAATAGCATATTTTTAGTCATCTTTGAAATCTATATTATACTTAAATTTTTTGTTGTTTGTTTTTGTGAAGCACCTCATGGTTTTTATCTTGAGAGGCGTTATATAAAAGATTGTTTTCTTTCTTTCAATGAAGGCTGTGAGCTTTAATATCGATGACTGGACTCAAGCATTGTTAAAAGCAAGGCCATAAATCAAACAAAGCTTCAACTTCCAATAAACTCCATTAATAATAATAATAATAATAATAATAATAATAATAGATTAGATGTATACAGCACTTTCCTAGACACTCAAAGCCCTTTCCATTGTTCACTCAATGCCAGTGATGGTAAGCTACTGTGTAGCCACAGCTGACAGAGGCAAGGCTGCCATTTGCGCCATCGGCCCGTCCGACCACCACCAACACAGGCAAATAAGGTGGCACGTCTTGCCCAAGGACACAGTGGCAGAGTACCCTGGTGGGAGATGGAATTGATCCTACAATCCTCTGATAGGCACCTCGCTTTACCTCCACAGCTACTGCTGCCATATTTGTCATTATTATTTTAAGCTTTTGCAACAAAGACATCATAGTAAAGTGAACTATTTTACAAATGCAATTGATTTTTGGAGATTATTTCAAGACCCCAAATTCTATGGTTAATGATGTACAATTCATTCCAAGGACAGGTTTGGTAATATTACTCACCTTTTGCTGTTATCAGAGAATGTTTGGAATGACCCAACTGCTGAAAAAGAACAGATTTCTTGCAGGAGGGAAAAAATCTGTACAAATTTAAATAAACCATGTATGAAAGGGGATGATAGGTCAAATTATCTGAGCTCGATTATGTTGAAGATGATGGTGGTGGTTCAGACACTGGTTTTGTAGTTGGGGGTGCAGTTCATGGGGCACACCTTCTGGTGAGTCATCGAGACACAGAATGGAGGAAGAGAACAGCAGCAGGCACCTGTGGTGATGAGCTGTGGCCTCCAGGTATGTTTATTTTCCAACACTGGACTGCAGGCTTAACCCTCTGGAGGCAAGCGTTGCAGATTTGCAACTTTAAAACCTACTTACCTGGTTACTCCACGTACGTATTTCATGAGCATTTTTTAACTCAGAAGTACCCCTGAAGGACTTAGTTGTTCACCCTTTTATCAAAACTTATTTTGAGCCTGAGAGGGTTAAAGCTTGGTGAATCACTGGTGGGCTGGAGATTTTCTAGGAGCATAAAGAGTTAACTAATAACACCCAAGAATTAGATCATTTAAAGGTTACCAGCACAAACGTGACACTCAGGCAGGGCAATCCTCTGTTAGTTTCTTTATGCTGCAGTCATAATGAGGAGATGGGAAGCAGCTGTGAGAGGCAGTGGGGAGAAGAAACAAAAGAAGGGAAAAACTAACCACAGCACCATTCCAGTCACATGGCAGTTCTAGAGATTATTTAGAGCATGGTGTGACTGTTTTGCCTAATCAAGCCAGATATAGATAAAAGCGCTTCCTAGTGTGGTGCTTTCTAAGTGTTTGCTCTAGATGGAACAGAACACACACCATTTAAATAGTTTTCTTTTGTCGCATCAGTGCTTTAAAGATTTTTCCCAAGTCCTGTGGATCATAGATACTATTTGGGCAAATGTTAGACTTTTGTGTTTGTTTGATTGTCTGTAGGGTTTCACCTTTTAACTCTTCCACAGAGGCCATGTTGGTTCATCTCATATTTGAATTATGATCGTGACCTCTGACCTTAACTTTGATTTGATGCCTGCATTGCTTTTTCAACAGACTGCAGCGTGTTCTAAGGTAATTTTATTAAAAGGCTTTCTGAGGACCACTGTTCTAACAGAGTGCAGAGATTTTTAGGGAATCACCATAGCTCGGTTGTCATGCTTTCACCGCTTTTATTTTCAAAGAATCTGTGGGTAGTGTACATACTTGTGAGAAAGAATTAAACAAGCTTAAATCATTTCAATAATGCTACACATAAGTAAAGATGGAGAAGGAACATCATAAAATGCTGGTGAAGGTTGCCAGTCAGTTGCCCCCCCTATCTCCCGTGATGAACCATACAGTTTTATTGAAAATTATTTTTAATTAGTTGCTATAGAAGCCATATAAACTGGGTTATAGATGCATGTACTGTCTTCACATAAAAATATAAAATAATGATTGTAAAATGTATTCTACTGAACATAATAGATCATCATTGAAAGCATAAACAGCTACATATTTTCTTCAAGGTAAGCTGGAGCAGAATTCTAGCTTTCAATAAACACTTTAAAATAGATACTACAACTCGAGTTTAGGGCTTCTTGTAGGGCTTAAAGTTATTAAATATGCTTTTATTAGAGCAGTGTGTTGCATTACTACATCAAATGTATTGCTATAATATATTATAGTAATGTATGTGGTCTAAATGTGTTCTACAGTGTGTTAGGACTGTCGTGTTCCTGTAATGTAGAACAGTCACGGGTGTTTGTCTTCCTACAAATGCTCGGAAAAATATAAATAGGCTACTTTGTGGAGGAATTAGGACATAATATATAATATAATTTATAATATTATTCAATAATTACCACAAATCGCATGGGGAAAATGTGATTATATTAAATGTTTGTGATTTGTCCCACCATACACCGTTCAAACTGACTTACGGCGCTGGGATGTTTGGAACTGAGAGCTCCATGAACCACGTGGCCGTGAGTCGGCAAGTTCAAAGAGTGTCATAACTTGACATAAATGATTCTTCCTTCCATTTTTGTCTTAACCAAAGAAATTCCAGTAATTGAGCAAAAACTTTTATTTTTTTACATCACATTTTATAAAATAACAGGACACAAAGTGTCAGTACATTTAAAAAATACTTAAAATAATAAAAGGGGCCCAGAGAGCTGCGGAGTGAGTGGAACATTGGGTTGTGAAGGAAGAACAGTTCTCAACAGTGTGATATGAGGGTGTAGAAGATAAAGCCAGTGCAGGTCCATCATGTTCACCAGCTTCACACCGCTGACCACCCCCATGTCATTGCCGCCACAGTGGATGAGAAGGACATCAGGAGCTGCTCTTCCATGTATGGAGTTGAAAAAGAAGGGGTGAAGGTCTTTCCCCCTCAGTCTGCCCCAACCGAACCAGGAGACACAGACGTCAGGGAGGCCAAGGTTGTCTCAGAGGGTCTCTGCAGCTCTCTGGGCACCACGCCTCACGTAGCTGTCTCCAATGATCCAGATGGCTATGTAGAAAAAATTAACAGGTTTGGCCTAGCTGTTTAAAGTACAAAACCATACATGAAGTGGTCAAGACAGGTACTTGGAACTTTCAAGCTGCGTTGTGTAGCCGATGTTGAAGACACACAGGCTGCCATGGTGACCTTTTAACAGATCTCAGAAAAAAATGTAATAAAAGAATGAAACTTAAAAACTCCCAGACCTCATTTCATGATTGCTAATCAGCTATGGCTTATTTATTGTTTGGAACACAGTGAGTTACACAAATTCTAATATATTTTTATTTCTATTACACATACATACTTTTTAACTGTTATTTTCACATGACTGTTATCAGGCTGTCTTGTTCTGGTTCTCATGATAATAATTCTGTTTCTTCCAGTAAGTTATCTTGTGCTTACATCATCTGTATAATGTCTCTTTACTTTTGGTGAATTGTACTGAGTCCAGAATGAAGGCTAGTTGGCTGTACAAGATACAAACAAGTATTACGTTTTGGAAATATATGAAATGTATTTAGCCTGCTAATTTATCTCAAATACTAATAACTACCGTATTTTCCAGACTATAAATCACACTTTTTTCATAGTCTGGCCGGTCCTGCTACTCCTGAGTGACTACACCGCGCCACGGGCCGACTCTGACCCAAGAATGAGTTCCCCTGTCCCGCTGGGAGGGTTTCAAACACCGCCTTCCTCTGCTGGAGACCGTGGCACTCTGCTGCGGCGCGTTATCCGGTTATTGTTACCAGTACTTGTCTTGCAATGTGAAACGCTTGGTCTCAGATTTTGTAAGAAAAATAATAAAATTTCCCCCTAAAATACGACTTATGTATGTTTTTTTCTTCTTCATTATACATTTAATGGCTGGTGCGACTCAGGAGCGACTTATAGTCCATAAAATACTGTACGTTAAAAATAGTGAAAACTTGCTCAAAGCAAAATATATTTTCACTACAGAAATAACTTATAAACTTACCGATTTCATATTTTTTTATTCACAGAAAGGTACTTTTGATGAAAAAGCGCCGCAAACCTCCACCTGAACTCCATGCGGTTGATGGGTGTTCCACAGAGTTAGCTCCGGTTGTAGCTAGGTGGCTACATCCGTTAGCTTGGCTCCCACCTCCCATCGACATAATATATGCGTTAGCTTTGGGTTAGCCAGGGTTAGCTTCAGGTTAGCTTGTAGCTAGTTAGACCGGGTGTTGTCAATTGATCCCAGCCTTAAAGCCCCACCCTCAGCTCCATCTCTCTTCCCTTTTTTGGAATTGTCTGGGCTTGACGGAACCTTTGACACGGTCAAAATGGCGGTGGTGGCCACCTCCCATTTGGCCTCAAAAACGTGATATTGGAGCCTATGGAAATGAATTGTCCAGTATGTATATGTCGATGGTCATAACTCTCTCTTTCTACAGCTCTGACAGAACCCTGCCCTCCTCTCCCAATGATTGGACAGGAATTTGAGAAACGTGATTGGTAGCTAAGACTCGTGCTCTCATTGGTTCCACCCAAGTTCCTCCCACCGAAGCTAGAATTGAGACAAAATTATTTGTAACACTGTAGATTTGAGGTTCGTACCCGTAGAATGAAATGTGTGTTTTGAGAGTTTTGATTTCAAACTTGTACATTGATTTTTTATTTTTATTTTGGAAGTCTGCTTGGTAAAAACCAAAAGTTTCATGTTTCTGAATGAATTTTTGATGTTACAAAATGAGTAGTAAATGTACAAAATAAAAGTTTGATTTTACAAAATAAAAAATACATGTACAAAATGAAATGTTCCTGTTACAAAACAAGAAATACAAGTACGAACTGAGAATTACAAGTTAGAAAATTAAAGTTACAAGTTACAAATCCAAAGTTACATGTCATGAAACATGTTCCAAGTTACAAAACTCGGTACAATTTACATTGAATATTGTCCCAATCCCAGCTCCATAATGCAGGAGGGTGTGGCCTTGTGGCCTAGACTGAAACATAGGACTGAAACTGTTCTGGAATCAGGTTCAGAGCTGGAGAGGTGAAACCTAAGCCCCCCCCCCCCCCCCCCCCCCCCCCCCCCCACACACACACACACACACACACACACACCACCCCTCCTCTGTTTAATGTAGCTCGTTTGACACAGGCGGCTTCCTTCTCTCCTCTCAAATAATCTTCTGTAACTTCTAGCAAAAACATAACAAAGTTAATATGAATATGTGAAAGATTCATTTCATTGTCTTTTTTTACTCCCAGTTTTTATTTTAATTATATATATGTATATATTTTATTTTATGTATTATTTTTTTTTGCCACATTCCTAAAATTTATTGTTGAAATCATTCAGAGGAGGGTACATTCCATATGCTCCATAAGGAGGAGGAGGATCAGAAGGCTGTGGTGCGAATGGTGGAGGTGGCGAGGACACGCCCCAAACTGGAGGGGTCAGATTCCCGAACGGCTCATATCCAAAACCTGCAGCAGCTGGTGGTGCTGAAGCTGCAGCAGGGACTCCAAAGGCTGGGAGGATGAAGATGTTAAATTTGATCTCTGGGTCTGAAGCATACTTGACATCTAGGTAAACCTGTGTGAAGATGTAAAAATAGGTAAAAGTCTAAATCATTTTCAAACAATTAGGCAACCTAATGTGCAGTGTTGCTCAGAATAAATTATATGTTGTTCCATAGTGAAAAAAAACCTTGTAACACAAATCAATAAAACTGGATAAAATATGTTCAATATTTATTTAAAAAAAAGAGTAAGTTATGGTCACACTTCGGGTACAGAAACCACAAAAACAGGAGTTAAATCTGACAGGAAACAGTTTTGTGTGCTTTGAAGGGCCCCCGTTTGGAGAAATAGAGAGCAGTTCTGGTTGTATTGATAGGCTAACAGCTAGCTGCTTACCCTGAGTCTGTACTCCACTTTGATGATGCTGCAGTTCATGATGGACGGCTCCATCTCACGAGGAATGGTGATGACCTGCGTGACGTTCTGCGAGGTGCACGGTGCGATTGGCGCTCCCACTTCTTTAATCAAGTCTTTGCAGTGGAGTCTTCTCTTCCCACGAGCGAAGAAGCTGTGCTTTGTATAAATGCAGTACTTGGGCTTGATCTCACGGGATGAATCGTTCTTAATGAATGCCAAAACCTTTAATTGTTCTCCTGTCATGCAAAGAAAAGACAAACTAGCTTTGTGGTGTCCTTATTGAAAGACAAATCAATATGACAATTGACTTATATTACTTTAACCCTCCCACTGTGCTAATGGGTGTAACCCCGCGAGGAAAGTTGGCCATTGAGCAGGATTGATGGTTTATCCCTTGGGTCCATGTGGCAGGGGTGAGGAGTGAGCACCACCTCACCCCTGCCACGTGGACCTCAAGTAATAAACCATCAATCCTGCTCAATTGTCAGTTTTCCTCGCGGGGTTACACCCATTAGCACAGTGGGAGGGTTAAAGACACTGACCTTGACAGAAGCCAGATTTTTCAAGTTGCACGTCCATGGCTACGGTTCCAGAGGTAAAAATGTTCATTTTTTTATCCTTTGACTCATGCTGAGGTGTCTAAAGCACAGATAGATTAATAAACACAAGTTGAGGTAACATAAGGATAAACAGAACTGGAATTTTGAGTCTCAGGAGCCATTGATCCTTGTCCATGTGTGGTCAACACAACTAGAGCTAAGCTACTGGAGGCATAATAGATAAAATGCATCAAACTTATTAAGAGTTACCCAGATGCAAAGCACTTTTAAAGGTTTATTCAGATTTCTAACAGAAAATCAAGCATGACAGAACTGACAGACGTGCTTTTGAGCACATACCATCACTCCAGAAGCAGGACTCAAGTCTGGTCTTGGAACAAAGCTGAGCTTGGTGCTTTCTGTCTTGTCCATTCTCAATGACCTGCTCAGCCTCGCTTCCAACAAATAGACTATTTTTCCATGGGCGCCTTTGAAAGAAGGAGGAATGTTCCTGAGAAGCAAAGATGTAAAAACATCTACAGTTACATAAATAATTATTGATATAATTATTTTTAAACTTTCCCTGTTCTCACAATTTAGGCCAAAATAATGGTGGATCTGAGGGGTTTGCTCCTAAACAGGAAGAGACGTGAATACTCCTGTTGCATAACTTTAATGAGTTCATGGTGTGACAGACTACATCCAGATCTGTCTGTAGTGTGCGTGTGTGTGTGTGCGTGTGTGTGTGTGTGTGTGTGTGTGCGTGTGTGTGTGTGTGTGTGTGTGTGTGTGTGTGTGTGTGTGTGTGTGTGTGTGTGTGTGTGTGTGTGTGTGTGTGTGTGTGTGTGTGTGTGTGTGTGTGTTTCTGTGTGTGTATTTGAGTGTTTGGTGTGTAAATGTGGTCTGTCCCAACCCCAAACTTCCTTTATTTACTTTTATAAGTTGTTGTATGTAGATATTCTTCCGTATACTGTCTATGTGTTACATAAGTGGAAAAAAAAACACTTTGAAAGAAGTTTCTTACTGATGAGGGAACTGAAAGGAGAATCTGTAGACATGGATTCCTGGGGGCAACACGTTGGAGTCTAAGCAAATAGCAAGAAATGTTAAAGATTTCTTTAGCAAACAAAACAAAACCTGGGAAGAAACCAGAAAGTTAAAGCTGCAATGGTAAATCTGCAAACCAAGCTAGTTTTTAAACACAAACACGGTCACACACCATCCTGTCAGCTGTCCTCCCCAGGACACAGCTTCCTGATACCACGACACATATTGCCACGGTAAACAAGATAGTGCCAAACACCATTCATCGTTTTCTACTTCCAAACGTCTTTTGTAGTCTGTGACTTCAAATAGTGTTTTTCTTTTGGGGACTCTAGTAATTTGTCCTAAAGTTGAAGGACTTGTTCGACGAGACTTACAACCTGATAGTTCAATAGTTGCTTTCGGTCTGGAACGTGTTATTGGTGGAGCTTTTTAAGCAAATGCAAGAGAACCACAATTTTTTTATTTTTATTATTTCATTGTTTTTTAATGTCCACAAAATATTCCTAACATATTACTAACCAGCTGGCTGCTGGGTTGTCAGTTTTCTCCTTTCAAAACAAAGGAAATAGGGACGTAGCTACTGTTTACCATCAGTGAGCGTGGGGGTGCCGTGCCTCCTGCGAGCTAATGCTGCAGCGTCCACAGTTGTAATTTGACGATGGCCGGCAAAAAGCTCCAGTTGTTTAAAGTGAATGCTGTAACCACATTTTACCACAGGGTGTCATTTTTACTTAATTTCTACATAATGCACCTTTAATGTTAAACAATTTAAGTCAAGAATATTTGAAGGGAATTTCTAATAATCTGTTCTTTGCTGCTTCATCCTCTTTAGGGTGGCAGGAGCTGGTGTCCATGTCCAGTGGTCAAAATGATGATTATGATGTATTTGAGAACATAACGGGAGTACTTTGTGCTAATCTAATCTCAGTGGTCTGGTGTGTGTTACTGTGAAACAGAAGACTTGATTGCATAACATGTTTGAAATGTTTTTCAGTGTTTGAAAAAAATATACAAACCACAAACTCCTGGGTTTGCATGTCTGACTGCAACCTAAGAATTTACTGTAAAAACAACAAAACTAAGGATCAACTAAAGTCACTTTGTTTTTTTGTTTTTTTTTTAAAGGAAGCCTGTCTCGGGTCTCCTTCACCAAACACATTTATAAAGATCTGCCTCCCATCCTATTTACAAATGTATTTCTTTATTTGTTTGTTTATTTATTTACTTATTTGTTTGTTTACTCGTCTATTTACTTATCTTTTAGGAGGATCAGCCACTTGAGCCGAACCATCTCATTTACAAGTGGGTCCTCCATAGAAAGTTTAAATGAAAACAGAGCCCAAGATGACACACACATTTCCCGAATAATGTAAAAACAATGGGGGACGATCAAAAACACACATAAAATAAACATGCAAAGGGCACAATGAATCAGGACATTCCTTAATATACATAAGACAACACATAGAACAGATTACTGTCAAGTTACAGTAAATTCATAAAGAATAATCCATAAAAACAGGTTGCAGGTGGGCATTATATCTTCTTGTATCAAGGTCTAGTAGATCTTTGGTCATTCCAATTGAGCTTTAATAGAAGAAGACAGCTTCCCTTTGTCTCTTTTTTATTATGAAGAGCCACAAATGAAATCTGAGTTCTGCAAATGTTGTACCGTGACCGGAACGGTATTAAATACAGGAACAGCACATCCTTCTTCATCCAACTTGCACTATATTATCATTTGTGTCGTTGGTGTACAAATGCATGTTTGGAGCACTTTTCTGATGTCTTGTGATTTGATTTGTGTTTTATAATTCCTCCTTATAGAAGCCAACCAGCGAGTCACTTCCTATTTACAGGAGCTTATTCAACAATCACAGAAAAATAAGAAAAAACTCAAAAGTTTGAGCTGTTCTTGAATGAAGTAAAATCACAACACCAAGCATTTTGTGGAACCGAATGCACAAAAGAGACATTTCTGAGTCCGAATTGTTGAATACTTACATGTTTCTGAGCTCTGGTTTGTCAGCTGGATTTGTTTGCCATCTACAGAGAGAAGAAGTAGAGTCAACTCGAGGCAGTTTAACAAGATCCTGTCTGAAGTTGATTTTTTTTTAATTGAATCAATTTTTTTAAACAGATGTGTTGTTACTTCTGTTTGTTGTTGTCTTTTGTAAACAATTACAACACTGAATGGTGTTTCGAAACTGTAATGATGCATTTATTTGAGGAAGATGATGAGGCTGATTGTAAATTGTAAAAGTGTGTAATAAAATGTAACTTCTGCTTTTAGAACAGGTTAGACAGATAATTAACATTTAATTTTGAACAGTTTAAATAACAGTTATTATTATTATTATTATTATTATTATTATTATTATTATTACTCAAGGTGACAGTGCAGCACATACATGGAGACAACTAACTTAAACTAACCAGTACTATTATATACTACTATAATACTATAAACTAACAACAACAATAATAATAATTGTGAAACGTATTGTTTGTAAATAACCATAAACATCATCACCATCATCAATATTATAATGATGACTAAATGTTAAAGAAAAACAGTCCTAAAAAGGGATTTTTGTATCTACAGTGGTTGTGTGAAAGCGGGCCAGCTTGGTAACTTGTGTAAAAATTCAAAAGCCCACTAGAACATGGTTTGTTTTGACTGAACTAAATCAATCAGCCTAAAGCGTTGAGCGTCATCTCATCTATTGAATTTTGCATTAATCTGTATGAGTTCATTTGCAAAATATAAATCTGTTTTTATAAATGTTCAAAAATGCATCTTATAATTATTTACATCAAACTTCAGGTGAAATCTGTCAAGAAACAGTTTGGCATTTTAGTCATTTTAATAAACAAATGTTCTCGGTCCATTTATGGAATCTGGTTGCCCACAAGCAGAAAAATAACAGAAGTTGAGTTTGCAAAAAGACAGAAATTTTTTCATAAGTAAATAAAAACTTACGCTTGAGGTTTTTGTCCTGGACAAAGTACTGCCTAACGCTAAAGTACTTGTCTTTGGAGTGGTATGTGTGGGTGGTATTCCCGTGCCTCTCTGTCCACAAGACCTCAGCCTTCCCCTTGAACTTAATGTACAAGAAGTCCACCTCACAGGTTTTGGCCACTTCCAGCCTCACCTCCCCACAGACGACATCTCCGTTGGTGAAGGTGTTCTGCTCGTTGATGGGATTGTAATTAACCTCTATTTTCTTGACGGTAGACTGCATGATAAACAACTGACGCCTAAAAGGAAATGCCAGAGTAGAGTAATAGGAAGCTCAGTGTGAAGACTCCTCCTCCAGCAGCTGGAGGGTGTGATTTTGTCCCTGGTGTCTCCTCCTCTCAGAGTCAAAAGGCACAAGCAGGCATGCAGTCCTCCAGTCATAATGCTTGTTTTTATCAGAATGAAAATTCCTTGAAAACAGATTATCAGGTGTGCATTTCCAAAAGGGTTGGGGGGGGGGGGGGGGGGGGGGGTTGGTTCATTGGGGTGGAACAAAAATAAAAAACATTAGGTCAGAATTTCAGGATTGTGTTTGTTTTGAACTGCAGTCTGTCTGAAACGTAATCTGAGACTGTCAGATGGGCTTGTCAGACAAATATGGGGGAGTCTGTGAAGTTCCATGTGTGAATTGCAAGACCTTGCTTTAGTGCCACTGGATATTCGAACATAAAGAATTTCAGAAGATGCTTTTATTTCTCAAAATAATGACCATGCTCATCTTTAATACTACATGTTTTAATTTCCATGGAAGTATGAGTTTAATCTCCCCTTCTCTCTTAAATTCCTATACACCAACATTATCAAACAAGGAGATCATTAAAAAGGCCATTTAAAAATGTGTATTCTTGTTTCTTAAATCTCAGTTAACCTATGGTCTTTATTCTGGCAGAAATAAAGCTTAGTGATTTCAGCTCCAACACCTACATCTAAAATATGTGAAACTATTTTGTCCTACTGAACACACTAGTCAGAGGAACTCCAAGCTGCTTTCTGTTCCATTTTTATGATGCTTTGTCAGCAAAGTCATAAGCTTCATGATGATAGGATTGCTGTTATAAAATGAAACATGGTGTGCAGATCTCTGGCTGCTTAAAAATTAACTAAATTGCGCTCAAATCTAAATAATAAACAAAATTTTACTCAGCGGCAGACTGAGATATCTAAGATCATTCATTACCACCGCAGTAAGTGTAGAACTCCACAGTTTAACTGGTACTGGCATTATCTGTCTACATGCTAACATCAATGCAATATTCAGTTCAGTACTTACACAATACTGGATGTACATTAGTATGTCTGTATCCCTTATGCTGCGTATTTTTGGAAACCCAATTTTCTAATTTTATTCGTTATTTTTAGTGATTGAAGGTTACAATAATAGCTTGCTGCCTTTGTGTGTTTACCTGTACTTTTTACAATAAAGAAACCAGCCGTAACAGACGTTTGCACAAGAGAAAACCACATAATGGACTGGGACGCTACACGGATCATAAACACAGAACAACAAAAATACAGAGATAGATCAAACAAGCAATAGAAAGAAGGAGACGTGGATACACAACTATGAACAGAGATGATGGAGTATTCACATTGGATCATGCATGGGACAGTGTCGGGCAGCAGAGGGTGACATTGTCCTCTGCTGCTCACGGATAAACAGCTGTGACGCCACCAACACCAACGATCTCTGATGATGACTAGAGGCATTAGTCAAAACATGTCAGGTAAAAAATATAATTTTTTACTAAACTGTGTAAAAAAACAGAATAATGGATTACGAAGTTAAACACAGAACGGATGTAAAAAAGAGTTTAAAAGAATTGTACTGAGGGAATTTCCCTGTCAGAGCCCAAGTCCCCAAACCAGCCAATTCCAGCTAGCCGGTCTCCACCCAGGACCACAACTCCCAGCATGCTCCTCACGGGGATTCCTTCCACGTCACACCTACGTCACTAACTACGACTATATACGGAAGTTGCCTCTCCAGCTCACCACTCAGTCATCGTTTCTTCAGATCCATGATCAGAGTATCAAATCAACTTTTCCATCCGACGAACTGTCTACTCACAGTAAGTGCTCTTACTTACCTTTGGAAAAACCCAGCATCTCCGTGTAACCTCACTGACGCTCGGACGCTTGGGGATTCCTAGATCAATCTGCGAGCCGGCGTATCACCGACGCTAGCACGCTCGCCACAGCTCAACTCCCTGTATCCATCCAGCCAGTCTGACAGGATGACTGAGTCCATTAGTCCTGTGGCGTTTGAGCGTTTAAAGAATGAGGTTGTGCTGCTCCACGCTTTGGTCGATCGGCTCAACACCAAGGTGAACTCTCTAACCGACCTCACCCTTCAGTTATCTACCTCACTCATCGCTCTCCAGCAGCAAGCCCTCGCTCCGGCTAAGGAGGAGCCACAGCTCAGCCTTCCGGAGAAGTGGAATGGGGTGGATGGGAGCCCCGATGGCCTGCTCGCCTCCCTGGATGTGCAGTATGAATGCCAACCAGGAAAATACCTCAATGCCCGCTCTCGGGTGGCGCAACTCACCTCACTTCTCTCTGGATGCGCTCAGGAGTGGGCCGCTGCTCTTTATAATTCTAAATTCCCTGCCTGCAATGACTATGCTGCTTTTGTGGCCGCCCTCAGGAGGGCCTTCATTCCACCCAGTAGTGAGGTGGGGGCTGAGGCACGTCTCCTAAAACTCTGCCAACGGGAACGCTTGGTGTGCACCTATGTGTCAGAATTTCGCACCATCGCTGCCAAACTCCAGTGGGATAACTCTGCCCTTCGGGCTGTCTTCTTAGAGGGGCTTGCACCCTACATCCGAGGTGAGATGACGGGAAGGGAACTGCCCCAGACCTTGGATGAAATAGCCGATCTTGCGCCGCGCATCGACCAGTGAGTCCTGGTTTGACCCACATCCTTTGCCCGCCCTCTCAGAACTCCTGGACATCTGCCTCATTCACCTATGCCAGCACCGGGACACACCTCAACCGAGAAGCCAATGCAGCTAGGCCACCTCCAGCTGGGAGAGAGAGAGAGAGCGACGGTGGCGCGAGGGTCTCTGTGCTCATTGTGGCTCCCCCCACCACCACCGCCTGGACTGCCCGTTATGGACGGGAAACGAAGGCACCCACTGAGTATCAGGGTAGCTCAGTCTGGGTCATCCTCTGCCCCTGTCTCTCCCCACTGACTCCTCCTTCCCATCACTCTCCTTCATGGCGAGACCTCACACCAGATATACGCTCTGGTGGACTCGGGGGCCGCCAACAACTTCGTTGATGCGGATCTGGCCAAACGCCTACGGATCCCCCTGACCTGCCTAGAGCGGGTTATTCCGGTGACCTTGGTGGACGGCAGGCCTCTCCAGCCCTATCCTGTCCAAGACCGAACCCAGTCACTCCAGATGATCATCCAAGGCCACCAGGAGACCCTCCATTTCCTGATCATCTCCGCTCCCTCCTCTCCACTTATCCTGGGGTTCCCCTGGCTCTGCCTCCACGACCCCCAGATTTCCTGGTCCCAGAACTGCCTGTTAGGCTGGGGGACCCGGTGCCAGGCCCACCTCTCTTCTCCCCCACCCACTGCAGACCGCTCGGCTGGCGGACTCGGACCTTCACCTCCCAATCTGCTGCTGCCCTATCAAGACCTTGCCACAGTCTTCAACAAGTGGCGCGCTACCACACTGCCGCCTCACCGCCCTTATGATATGGAAATCAAGCTGCAACCAGGAACCAGCCCTCTCAGAGGGCACATTTTCTCTCTCTCTCCCTCCGAATCTAGAGCTATGGATGACTACATGAACCAGGCCCTCCAGCAGGGCTTCATCCGACCCTCCTCTTCCCCGGGTGCCGTGGGCTTCTTCTTTGTGAAGAAGAAGGAGGGTGAGCTTCGTCCCTGCATAGATTACCGGGGTCTTAATGAGATCAACATCCGGGACCATCACCCCCTGCCACTCCTCACGACTGCTCTGGACTCTATCTCCCAAGCGCAGATCTTCACCAAACTGGACCTCCGGAGCGCCTACAACCTGGTCTGCATCAAAGCAGGGGAGAAATGGAAGACCGCATTCATCACACCCACCGGCCATTGCGAGTACCAGGTCATGCCCTTCGGGCTGTGTAACAGCCCTGCTGTTTTTCAACGCCTCATTAATGATGTCCTCCGTGACATTCTGGGCCGGTGGGTGTTTGCCTACCTGGACGACATCCTAATTTATTCCAAGACCGAGGCCGAACACCTCCACCACGTTCGTGCCGTCCTGACCCGGCTCCTGGACAACAACCTGTTCTATAAGCCCGAGAAATGCTCCTTCCACCAGCGAACCATCTCATTCCTGTGCTTCATGATTTTTGGATCAGGGCATAACCATGGACCCTCAGAAGGTCCAGGCGGTCGCTGACTGGCCCCTTCCGACAAGCCGGAAACAACTACAGAGTTTTTGGGGTTTCTGCAACTTTTACCGCCATTTTATAAGGAACTTCAGCACCGTAGTTGAGCCTCTCTCACCCAACCAAGCCTACCCGGCCATTTGTTCCGCCTAACTCCAGACACCATTCATGCCTTCCGCCATCTGGTCACCTGGTTCATGACTGCCCCCGTCCTCCACCATCCAGATACTACTGTACCCTTTGTGGTTGAGGTCAATGCCTCAGATGTCGGCGCCAGGGCAAAACTATCCCAAGGCGGGCCCGACGACAGACTCCATCCCTGCGCCTACTTTTCTAGGAAGTTTTCCACCACTCAGCAGAAGTATGGCATGGGTGATCATGAACTGCTGGCCATAAAATGGGCACTGGAAGAATGAAGACAGTGGCTTCTGGGCACCACCCAGCCTTTCACGATCTGGACGGACCACCAGAACCTTACTCACATCAGCTCCGCCAAGCAGCATAATCCTCGCCAGGTCTGCTGGGCCCTCTTCTTCGAGCCCTATGATTTCCATCTCGCCTACCGCCCTGGAACAAAGAATCAGAAGGCTGATGCCCTCTCCCGCCAGTTCTCAGACTCCACGCCCCACGTCCGAGCCTGCACAGATTCTACCAGAACACCGATTCCTGGCCCCCCTGAGGTGGCCGTTGGAAGAGACTATCCAGCACGCCCTCCAGGACGACCCCGCACCTCCAGAGACCCCTGCGACTCGTCTCTACGTCCCTACATCCTGCTGCAGCGAGGCGCATTCCTGGGCCCACTCGTCATGCATGTCTGGACATGCGGGGTTCTCTCTTTTTAAGTTCAGTAGTATTCTATCTTAAAGCTGCTCTACCGAAAAC